ATAATGGAAAACAAGGTTTCTGCCTCAAACTTTTATTCAATATAGCGGTACTCTCTTGCGTGTTCTGTCTAGATAGTCAGGTACACAAATAAAATAAATAAATCACATAAAAAGCAAATTAATAATTAACCTAAATTTGGGAACTTAAAAATGGTAACTAACCTTTGCATATAGTACCATCCCCAATATATCCAATACTACAAGTACAATTGTATGATCCTTTTGTATTTGTGCAATATGCATTTTCTGAGCATTTATGATCTAAAACACACTCATTCAAATCACTACAGTGGGTTCCATTACCTTTGTATCCACTCCAGCATGTACAAGAAAATCCTCCTTGTTTATTTTCACAATACGCATTTTCATGACAGTTATTTTTTCCTCTTTCACACTCATTTATATCTAAAACAAATTAAGAGAAAAAATCTTTAAATACTTTGGAAAAAATGTTTTTTATTTTAAAAAAATCACTGATTAAAAAAAATATATATATAAAAAAAGTTAAAAAAATGGTTTTCTGGGTTTTAATTCCATTTAAAAATATACTTAGTTAAAATTGAATACTCAATTTACTACTTTATTTATATTTGAATAAACAATTATATATTTCATTTTTTTACTTTATTTTTATTGATTTACTAATTCATTTTTATTAATTCAAATTCAAAATTTTCAAAATTTATCAGAAGAAAAATAAAGATGAGCAAAGAAAAAAACAACAACAAAGTAAACAAAAAAATCACAACTAAACAGACACATCGTGACAAGGAAACCTTGCAAAGTAAAAACAAGAGTAGAGTAAAAAAAAAAGTTAAAATGAAATATAGTTGATAAATGTAGCTTTTACCCTAAAAATAACAAAGTATAAAAATGATTTAGAAAAAAAAAAATTTTAATAAAATAAGTTAAAGTTTATAATATGACAAATAAAAACTAAAAAAATATTTTAAAACAAAACAAAAACATAAATGTTATTCAAAAATAACTAGGAAATTAAATCAAAATTTATTCTTTTCTTTTCTTTATTATTTCTTTGAATGTTGTTATAAAAAGTATATTTACGTATATAGATATATACATTTGACACAGTCTGGATTAAGCAACAACCTATAATGCAGTCCAAATTTGGCAAGCTGGCAAGTTGCAGCTTAGTGAATGGAACAAATAATAATCTGTTGGTGCATGTTGAACAAGTAGTGCAAATGAGGCAACACTTTAATTGTTAATTTAACAGCAAAGCTCTAATAATTTTCAGCTGGATTGAATTTGTAAGATGAGGAAAGACATTGTCATTGTAGGAAGTAAACTTTTTTGAGCCCCAGTCATTTTTTTTTAATAGCTCTGCTTGAAACTTGTTGGGTTGAGCATATTAGATTGCTGCTGCTACTGTAGTGTTTGATGAAAGCAGTTCTCTGTACATAATACATTGCACAAAAAACAAACCAAAGTAATAACTTTTTTGGGGGTAAAGGTCAACTTTCGGAAATTTGGTTTGGCGATTGTTCTAGCCACAGACAACAGTAATTCCAGTTAAATATGCAGAGAAAAGACAAATGATTTATGCAGGTGTTTGTTTGCTTACCTAGCTGATTAGCATTCACTTTTGTGGTATCCAAACACCAAGCGTAGAGTTTTTCCCTATTTTGAGCAAGTACCATGAATGTATTCTATAGTTCAATAAATCTATTCAAATTTGCTTTCTAAGCAGCACATAATTAATATTGAATTGCTCTCAATTAGTTGCACTTTGCTGTTGCCTCACACACCATCTTTGACTTATCAAATTGAATATATTTAGTGTGGCTGCTGCTGAGTGGCCCAACTAAAACTCATAAAAAAGGCAGTGCCATAAAAGATCTTTAATATCATCCATTTTTCACAATATATAAGAAGTTAAAATGCGTAAATATTAATTGAAATATTATAATTGTTATGTATAATCCATTTAAGCACAATTTGTGATTACTTACTTAAGTACTGGCTATATCTTGATATAAATGATCTGTATTAAAGTTAGCATTTCAAAATTTTAAGTTTTCAAAATATATAGGACAGTGCATATCTAAGTGCGTTAAAGTAAAAGTTTATATATTTATTCAATGCGTATTTAAAAAGAACAAACTACAGCAAAAAGATTTAAAATACAACAACAAAAAATAGAATTAACTGCTATTTCAGAAAATTTTATTAAAAAAAATACCTTCACAAAGATGACCATCTCCATTATATCCAGCATGACATTTACATTGAAAACTACCTAATGTATTTTTACATGCTGCATCTTTATGACAAGAGTTGTTAAAACATTCATCAATGTCTAAAAAAATTAATTAATCTAAAAACTCATTTCAATAAAAGTATAATCTTAAATCAAAATCAAAGTTAAAATTTAAAGCTTCTACATCAAAATCAAGGTTAAAATTTGAAGCTTCTACATCAAAATCAAGGTTAAAATTTGAAGCTTCTATATCGAAATCCCTTTTTTTTTAATGCTTGTATGTATATATATATATATATATATATATATATATATATATATATATATATATATATATATATATATATATATATATATATATATATATATATATATATATATATATATATATATATAGTATATAGATATATATATAGATATAGATATAGATATATATATATATATATATATATATATATATATATATATATATATATATATATATATATATATATATATATATATATATATATGTATATATATATATATATCTTGACCAACGTAATAGCAATAAATGTTAACATATTTTTAAAAAAAACACATTATTTTTTAACCTTGACATGTTTTGTAGTTAACATACTACATTTTCAAAAGATAAAATTACAATTTAAAACTCTAGATATAAATATAAAATTAAAATTTGAAGAAATTACAGAGAAATATTAACAAACAAACAGAATTGTTACAAACCAATAAAAATTATAATACAAATTATAATACTGTAATAGCAAAAATAAGAAAAAAAGTTATAAGTAAATTAAAAAAACAAAAAACTAGTTGGACAAATTTATATTATAATAAACAGTTTGTGTATTTAAAGGTAAGTTTTCCCATTTAATATGGAGTGCTTCTTGAATTTTCAATTTGCTTTTGTTAGGAGCAGTATCCAAAATTTTAAAACAATTACAGTTACTTAAATTTATACAATTAAAAGATAAAATTAAATGCTTATAAACATTAGATTGTTTGTAAGATGTTAGGTCAAGTTTATCCTGCTACTGGTAACATGTAAACCAGTACAATCTGCTCATGTCCTGCTGCCTTGTAGGATACGCCTTTTTAGGCAAAAGCTAGGAGATGCCAACTCTGACATAAAACACCCCCTGCCTTGGGGCTCTTGATTGAGTAAAGGCTAAAGACGGTGTCTTGATAAAAATACTCATCTTGGGCAGATGTTAAATACATCTGGCTGCTGTCTTGTAGAAGGCCTCCTAGGCAAAGAGGGTAAACAGATTCTATCTGTTGACCAGCCTTGCACCCCTTCTTCATCTATTAGGCTGGCGCTGATGCATTTTTAATACATTGTTTCCAGCTTAGGATGTTGAATGATGGATTTTCTTGCCTCGATGCATGGGTTTTGATTGTGTCTCTGTTTTTATGACTAGGCAACTTATTTTATTATCTCCTAATGAGGATACAGTTCTAAAACTCAGTTTTATGGTTCTGAGGCCGGCTGGTAGTCAGGTTTCCCGAATTCTGTGGTAGCTCTCAGAGACACTGATTCTATCAAAAGCTGAAAAATATCAAAGTACTAACAGTGCCATGTTGCACATGGATGGTGTCCCTGTTTGTACTTTTGGTGTGCATTACAAAGGCCACATTTGAGCCCTTAGTTACGACTTAGGGTTTATTAGTAGTAATGAGGATTTTGCTTGGGCTAATAAACAGTGTACTGAGTACTATCTATGTTTCAAGTCAAGTTCTTTAACAAATTTAAAAATGAATAAAGTAACAAAAACTAAAAAACACAAAAAACCACTGTCATCACCAAGTTTCATTCCACAAATATTAGTGTCATTCACTAATTCATGGTCTACGAAGTAACTTTTCTTCTGTTGAGTCTTATCTCTTGCAAAATTCACTAGACCAACTTGCTCTTTGTGAGACTAATTTGAGTTCAGCTGTATTATCTTGTGATCTTAGTATTGATGGTTATTTTCCTTTAATTCGTAAAGACTTTAATAGCCACATGTTTGGCCTGGGCATTTACATTGGTAAGAGTTCATCCATTTGTCGGGAAACTAGATTTGAATCAACAGACTATTCGTTTATGTGTTTTTGTTAAGCACCACTTCACTCTATCACCTTTCTCTTTTCTATATTGCTCTCCTTTATCTCAAGACTGCATTCTTCTTGATGTTGTTCTTTATGATATTCTTTCTGATCATATTGACCAAGCCCTCTCTCTTTATCCATCAGCCAATATTGTTGTTGTTGGTGACTTTAATGCTTATCTCACTGAATGGCTTGGCTCTAGTGTAAGTGATTCTACAGGCATTAAAGCCCACAACTTTTGCCTTTCTCAATCCCTAACTCAAGTAGTCAACTTTCCAACTCGCTTTCCAGACAACCCAAATCATTTACCTTCTCTACTTGACTTATGTCTTGTTTCTGATCCTAGTCAGTGTACAGTTTCTCTACATTCACCCTTAGGTGCCTCTGATCAGTTTGATCTCTCTAAAACTATTATCTCATTCTTCTTTATCATCAGAATCCCCCTATCGTTGTACATCATACAACTACCTTAAAGCTGACTGGGACTCTTTCCATAATTTTTTTTGTGATGGCCTTTGGGTAGAAATCTTTCATCTTCCTGTTGACAAATGTGCTTCTTACATAACTTTGTGGATTCAGGCTGGCATGGAATCCTTTATTCCTTTCCGACAATTCCAGGGCAAGCCTAACTCTTCTCCATGGTTTTCCTCACATTGTGCTGCAGCAATTGCTAATTGAAACCGTTACTTCCATATCTATAAGCAAAACAATTCTCCGGATAAAACAGACGTCTGTTTATTACTGCCAAAACCATTGTAAAAAGATTTTGTCTAACGCCAAAGCCCTTTATTCTCAGGTCAGTCGACAAAAATTATGCACTTGTGACTTCTGGAGAATCTTTAATAGCATCAATAATAAGGCCAAATCTGTAACTCCACTTCTCTTGTATGGTTCAGACTTAATTACCTCACCTAAAGACAAAGCTGAATTGTTTGCTAAAAACTTTTTATCAATATCATTTCTTGATTCCACTAGTTGCATTCTACTAATAGTTGCATTCTACTAATATAGCCGTCAAACAGGTTGATCCATTGCTTGACATATTGACGGATCACTCCAGCTTTTGTATCTAAAGTGATTTCCTGCTAAGACTCTTATACAATTTGTGGCCCGGACAACATACCTGTTATAGTCTTGCAGAAGTGTTCTCTGGAGCTGCCGTCTATCCTTTAAAAACTATTCAATAAGTGCTTATTAGAGTCTTGTTTTCCATCCTGCTGGAAAGCAGTATCTGTTACCCCTATTTTAAAAATTTAGGAGAGTGATCACATGTTCTATATTGCTCTGCTTTATCTCAAGATCTTTTTGATGTTATTTCTTGATGTTATTTCTATATTTTGATGATATTCTTTCTGATCATATTGACCAAACCCTCTCTCTTTATCCATCAGCCAATATAGTTGTTGTCGGTGACTTTAATGTTCATCACACAGAATGGCTTGACTCTGCAGGCATTAAAGCCCACAACTTTTGCCTTTTTCAATCCCTAACTAAAATAGTCAACTTTCCAACTCGCTTTCCAGACAACCCGTATCATTAACCTTCACTGCTTGACTTATTTCTTGTTTCTGATCCTAGTCAGGGACACACGCCACATTAAATCAAAAAAAGCATTACATTTAGTGTCGTATCTTTGTACATCTTACAACTACCTTAAAGCTGACTGGGACTCTTTCTGTGATTTTCTTCGTGATGGCTCTTGGGTAGAAATCTTTCGTCTTTCTGTTAACAAATGTGCTTCTTACATAACTTCGTGGATTCAGACTGGCATGGAATCCTTTATTCCTTCTCAACGATTTCAGGTCAAGCCTCACTCTTCTCCATGGTCTCCTCACATTGTGCTGCTGCAATTGCCTATTGAAACCATTACTTCCATATCTATCAGCAAAACAATTCTTCAGAAAACAGACGTCTGTTTATTACTGCTAGGAACCATTGTATAAAGGTTTTGACTAATGCTAAAGCCCGCTATTCTCAGGTCATAAAACTCGTATTTCATCACAAAAATTAGGCTCTTGTGACTTCTGGAGTATCTTTAATAGTATGAATAATTTTTTTCACCTCTTTTGTATGGTTCAGATTTTGTCACCTCACCTAAAGACAAAGCTGAATTGTTTGCTTAGAACTTTTCATCAATATCATCTCTTGATTCCACTAGTTGTGTTCTACCTGATATAGCGGCCAAACAGGTTAATCCATTACTTGACATTCGTATCACTCCAGCTTCTGTACTAAAGTAATTTCCTGCTTAGACTCTTCTACAGCATATGGCCCGGACAACATACCTGTTATAGTCTTGCAGAAGTGTTCTCTGGAGCTGTCGTCTATACTTTCAAAACTATTTAACAAGTTCTTATAAGAGTCTTGTTTTCCAGCATGCTGGAAAGTGGCATCTGTTATCCCTATTTTTAAAAATTCTGGAGAGCAATCTGATTTGTCTAACTACCGTCCTATTAGTCTTCTTCCTATCACAAAAAAGGTTTTTGAATCCTTAATTAAAAAACACTTAAATTCTTATCTTGAATCTAATAACTTACTTTCTGTTCATCAATATGGATTTCGATTTTCTCATTCTACGGCTGATTTGCTAACAGTAATAACCGATAAGTTTTATCATGCATTAGATAAAGGTGGAAAGGTTAAGGTCATCGCTATTGACATTTCTAAAGCGTTTGATAAAGTTTAGCATGCTGGTTTTCTCCATAAGCTTTCTTCTTATGGTGTATCAGGTAGCATCTTTAAGATTATTGAATTTATCCTTTCCAATCATAGTATAAAAGTTGCTCTCGATGGACAGCACTTTTCTTTAAATCCGGTAACTTCAGGAGTTCCTCAAGGTTCAATCCTTGGCCCTTTACTCTTTTTAATTTACATTAACGATCTTCCAGATATTCTCACATCTAAGGTGGCATTGTTTGCTGATGATACTACCATTTATTCTTGTCATTATAAGAAGCCAACTCTCTCTGATTGCTTGGAGGGGGCATTTGAGCTTGAAAAGGATCTCACTTCTGCTACAGTATGGGGCTCACAGTGGCTGTTGAACTCTAATTCAGATAAAACTCAATTTTTTTCATCCAATCATTATTGCAATGATTTAGATCTTCCTATATTTATGAACAAACATGAACTTGATGAGTCATCTACCCTTCATCTTCTAGGATTAACTCTTACTTCTGATCTTTCTTGGAAACCATATATTAAATCTGTTGCAAAATTAGCATCTGCTAAAGTTGCATCTCTTTATCGAGCTTGACACTTTCTTACTCTGGATTCTATTCTATATCTCTATAAATCTCAAATCCGGCCTTGTATGGAATACTGTTGCCATATCTGGGGCGGATCTTCTAATGATGCCCTTTCTCTTTTAGACAAGGTGCAAAAACGCATTGTAAACATAGTTGGACCTGCTCTTGCGATCAACCTTCAACCTCTGTCACATCGCCGTAATGTTGCTTCTCTTTCTCTTTTCAACAAATACTATAATGGGCATTGCTCTAAAGAGCTAGCGTCTCTTGTGCCATCTAATAAAATTCATTCTCGTGTTACTCGTCATTCAATTAAGTCTCATTCTTTTTCTGCTACTGTTCCTAAGTGCTCCAAAAACTCTTACTCGACTAGTTTTTTTCTTCCAAACATCAGTTCTTTGGAATTCGCTTCCTTTATCTTGCTTTCCCGATTCATATAATTTGCAATCTTTTAAGTTGTCTGTCAATTATTATCTTGCTCTATAAACTTCATCTTTTCTCTTCCAGTATATTCCAACACCAATTAGTGGTTGCTTGCACCCTTGTTGGAAGCAAAGATGTTTATATATATATATATATATATATATATATATATATATATATATATATATATATATATATATATATATATATATATATATATATATATATATATATATATATATATATATATATATATATATATTATATCAAATCTTTAATTTGTTTTTGTTTTTTATAAGTTACCTTGACAATGTATTCCATTTCCAATATATCCATTGTTACATGAACATTGAAATGATCCTTTTAAGTTTAAACAACTTGCATCCATATGACAATTATGTTTTCCTTGCAAGCACTCATTTAAATCTATTAAATAAATATTCAGAATTTTTATACTAGCAGTTACCTGTAGTAATTACTGCTATTATAAATGTGTCAAATTTATAATACTATTGAAAATAAACTTTCACATTAATATGTTAGATAAAGGTAATTCTTAAAGAACTAAAATATGCTCAATCTAGAAGCCTTAAGAGCACATGCAGAAAATTGAAAAGTAGAGTCTTATCTTTTAAACTGATAGTTAGGAAATGTCAAATTTTCCAATAAACTAACATAATTAACATAATTATTATTTAAATTGTTCAACAAAACTTTTATACTTATATATTTTAATTATTGGTTTTAAAATGAAATAGGTAAAATAATGAAAAATATTTTTTAGAAATAATAAAGGATAAAAAGAAATACGTTCATACAATATATTTTATATTTATGTATTATTAAACACATATTTATTGTTTGTATAAATATATATAAAACTCAATTAAGGAAAAAGAAACTATGTATTTTCTCTCTCCCTATTTACAACAACTCTTCAATTCATCACATTTTATACTTTTTCTTTCAAAGCTCAAAAAAAGTTAAATTTTTTATAACGAGTTTGCTAATTGAGTTCAGAACTTGAGATAATAAAGTATAATTATTCAAAAATTAAAATCTAAGCTTAAGACATCTTTTCATCAATATTAAGAACTTTTCATCAATATCATCTTTTGATTTTGGCATTGGTTTCTTAATTTCATAAGACTATGCTAATTAAAGTAAGAAGACTGGTTGGGTAAGAGTAGAGCGATCTGAGTGATCTATTACTCAAGCGATCTCCTGTTTAAAGTTTCTAATATCAGAAAAAATGAAAAAAATTATTAAAATTAGAAAAACTAGGAAAAAACTGAGCACAAGCTGTGAATGGGAGACAAAAAACAAAATTTTTCTCTTATAATGTGATGTGATTTATAGTGTTATTCATGAAAGAATTGTTTTGATAGCTAATTATCTTTTAAGGGACCCATCTCCACCTAAGAAATCAAAGGTAGGACGACCTTCAAAAAATTTTGAACAGAAATCTCTCCGTTGGAAGCAACTTTCAAGTGCAGAAGTGCAAAAGGAGGGAAGCTAACTAATTAGAGTTGTTTGGAAAACAAGTCATAAAATAAACTAAGTAAGAAATCAATAAAGACAAATATTCAGAGCTTTGGAGCCAGCAGAGTCAGTAATACTAGATAGTCCTCAATAAAAACAATATTGGCTGAGAAATCAAAAGAAAGGGATTGGACAATTTATTCAGAAAAAAAATGGTGTCTTGGTAATAAGAAGAACAATAAAAAACAATAACAATTAAATATTGAGTGAAAAGATGCTAAACAAAACCACATAAAAGAATAGACAGAATTCAAAACTCATTTTTTGATTAATTGATATGTAAATATATGCCCAGGTTTAACATAAGAAAATTTAGCAAATCATAGAATAATAGTAACCAACACTGAGATTCAAGATAAAACAACCAAATTTAAATTTGCACAGAGAGCAAGTAAGTCTGGTGAATTTTGTAAGATGTAAGATTCAACAGATGAAAAGTTACCTCAAAGACCATAAATATTTGTAAAGCATAGATTGAAACAATTTTATGGTAATGATGGTTTTTTTTGGTAATATTTTTAGATATACTTTATCCATCCATTTAACAATAAAAGAATTAAGTAAATCATAGATGACACACAACACTATGTAGTTACCTTATTCCAAACAAACAAGCCCTCATTCCAAACAAACAAGCTCTCATTAGGAAATAACAAACCCTCATTAGAAAATAATAAAAACAGTTGCATAGCCACTGCCAAGGAGACAAAATCCTCCTACAAGGAGCAAAAAATTATGAGTAGAGTCAAAAAGATCCAGCCATTATGGTCCTTGGCAGAGAACAAGGCAAAACAGGTTTATATTTATAGCAATTTATGAGATGAAGGGGTGCAAGAAGGTCAACCAAACTAAGAAAAAATATAATTATTTACAAAGACAGATTTTTACGATTTATAAATTTTAATTTAACTATAAATATGAAAAATTATTTTTCAAGATCATATAAACACAACAAATTAGTTATAACTAAATTGAAAGCAGAACTAGTAAATAATAAAAATTATTTATACCTTTACAGTATGTACCATTTCCTTCAAACCCATGTTTACAGTTGCATAAAAAAGAACCTAGTGTATTATTGCATGTTGCATCTGTATGGCAGTTGTCAGTTTGTGCAGCACATTCATTAATATCTACAATTTTATAAATACTTATGTCGTTAGATATGTTTGATACAACACATATGGTATTTAATAAGATATGCAAACATAACATCTAATGAAATTATTTATATTTATACTATTATTTTTTAATATTAACTATTATGTAGTGATTTTTTATCTAACAGTTTAAAGTTAAAACTACTTTACATGACTTTGAAACATTTAACATAATAAGAATAAAGTATTATAAAATTATATAGTATTATTATTCTAGGATTATAAAATATATATTTTTTATATATTAAATATATTTTATATATTATATTATTAAATATATTTTATATATTATATATTATTTTTTATATATTAAATTTATATTTTTTTTTGTTAATTAACCTCCTCAAGGCTGAGAAGGCCACTAAAGATGAGGAGGCTACTTAATTGTGGTTATAATTCTCTCTCAACTTTATCACTCTGAAACACGAACCTTGATTAACAAGGCTGCTGCGCAGAGAAACAAGTTGAGGACGGTACTACCAGGAACGAGGTCAGGATCGAACTCGGAACCTCTTGTTTATGAAGTGAGCGCTCTACCACATAATTTTATTAATTATATTTATTTGTTAAATTTATTAAATAATATTTCTGCGTAATATTTTAAAATATTTTTTAACAACTATTAAATATGACTCTAAATATTACTTTTCTAGAAAAAGACTTTACCTTGACAATTTATTCCATCACCATTAAATCCATCTAGGCAAGAACACTGAAATGAACCTTTATTATTTAAGCATAAAGCATCTTTATGGCAGTGGTGAGTACCCAAAAGACATTCATTAACATCTAAAATATAAATTTATAACTTTAATTTGACTATAACTTTTATAAAATTAATAATTTTTTTGTATGCAGTTATGTAAAGTTGTAATCATTTTATATTTAAAATTTTTTATGATTTAATCTTAAGGTTGTGCATATGTAACATCAGTTGACCTACTGTTATTAGTCATATTATTACCAAAAGGTTTTAATTTTTATTAATAAACATTTAAATGGTTGAAGATATAAAACTAATTCTAACTTAAGGTAATTTGTAACAGTTTTTACTTTCATTAGCTTTTAGTTTATTTATAATTAATTGCACTAACATATACCTTAATATACTTTATACTTATACTTTTTATAAACTTTTTCTGAAAAATGATTCTTGTTTTATAAGCGGAATGAATTTTTGCCTAAAAACAATCAAATAAGCCCAATATTTTGAAATAATATATGCAATAAATATGCATCTAACGTAACTGCCTTGATATGCTTTATTATATAGAAGAAATGGGAAAAAAATCACTAGAAGAAATATGTAGAACACCAATCTATTTTAAAATTAATTAAAAATTATCTTGGAGCAGAAATTAAAAGCAAATTGTGGTACTTAGTCACATTTCAATCAAACAAAAGTTGACAGCTGAATCACTTTAATCATCAAAATACTGTCAAATATTTAGTGATGATATAATCATGCATCTGTAAATATGTAGATAATAGAATCATGCATCTAGCAAATCTGTAGATGATAGGATCATGCATCTAGTAAATCTGTAGATAATACAACAATGCATCTAGCAAATCTGTAGATAATAGGATCATGCATCTAGTAAATCTGTAGATAATACAACAATGCATCTAGCAAATCTGTAGATGATAGGATCATGCATCTAGTATATCTGTAGATAATACAACAATGCATCTAGCAAATCTGTAGATAATACAACAATGCATCTAGCAAATCTGTAGATGATAGGATCATACATCTAGTAAATCTGTAGATAATACAACAATGCATCTAGCAAATCTGTAGATGATAGGATCATGCATCTAGTAAATCTGTAGATAATACAATAATGCATCTAGCAAATCTGTAGATGATAGGATCATGCATCTAGTAAATCTGTAGATAATACAACAATGCATCTAGCAAATCTGTAGATAATACAACAATGCATCTAGCAAATCTGTAGATGATAGGATCATGCATCTAGTAAATCTGTAGATAATACAACAATGCATCTAGCAAATCTGTAGATGATAGGATCATGCATCTAGCAAATCTGTAGATAATACAACAATGCATCTAGTAAATCTGTAGATAATACAACAATGGATCTAGTAAATCTGTAGATGATACAACAATGCATCTAGTAAATCTGTAGATAATACAACAATGCATCTAGCAAATCTGTAGATAATAGAATCATGCATCTAGTAAATCTGTAGATGATACAACATCGCATCTAGTAATCAAGATCTATATCATCTGTAGATGATACAACAACCATCTGTAGATGATACAAATCTGTAGATGAATCTGTAGATGATACAACAATGCATCTAGTAATCAAGATCAATATCATCTGTAGATGATACAACAACCATATCAAGGTTATCAAGATACCAAGATACCAAGTAATCAGTGTGCCATCAGTGTGCCAAATGTACAATAAAACTGATTAGCAAAAAATGTTTTCCGAAAAATATTCTAACAATTTCCATTGGAAAGCTATTGAGGTTTTTTGCATCTTCTACTTGAGGTTAATAAACTTATGAAACATATGTAATTAAAATTTTTATCCTCAACCTTGACTATATTTTTCCAATGGGTTGCAGTGTTAATCAAACAATAGTGCATATGGTATGGAATGATTTCAATCTTAATAATGAACCAAAAACAAATTGATTTTATAATGTGATTGTAATTACTCTGTGTTATTGGAATCTTCTTGATTACTTTGGTAAAAAAAAAAAAGAAAAAAAAAAAAGTTGAAAAAAGAGATTTTCCGGCTATTATTGTAAGCTAATTAGTTAACTAGACATATGTAAGACCTAAAGACACATAAAAATACTAATATTGCAACATCTAATAACTTAACAAGAAAATCATCTCAAGATTTCAGCTAATCACATGCTCTTCTAGATTACTAGTATGCACAACTATTAATTACTTTTCAGTGCTCAGCCATTTGATACTTATATTTTGTACACTTTTAAAAAATTTTATCACGAAGTATATATTTTGATTAGTTTACTGCAGACTAAAAAAGCTGGTTGTAATACATGTAGCTGTCAACACTAGGATAAACAATCTAGCTGGTAAGTTGTAATACATGTAGCTGTCAACATTAGGATAAACAATCTAGCTGGTAAGTTGTAATACATGTAGCTGTCAACATTAGGATAAACAATCTAGCTGGTAAGTTGTAATACATGTAGCTGTCAACATTAGGATAAACAATCTAGCTGGTAAGTTGTAATACATGTAGCTGTCAACATTAGGATAAACAATCTAGCTGGTAAGTTGTAATACATGTAGCTGTCAACATTAGGATAAACAATCTAGCTGGTAAGTTGTAATACATGTAGCTGTCAACATTAGGATAAACAATCTAGCTGGTAAGTTGTAATACATGTAGCTGTCAACATTAGGATAAACAATCTAGCTGGTAAGTTGTAATACATGTAGCTGTCAACACTAGGATAAACAATCTAGCTGGTAAGTTGTAATACATGTAGCTGTCAACACTAGGATAAACAATCTAGCTGGTAAGTTGTAATACATGTAGCTGTCAACATTAGGATAAACAATCTAGCTGGTAAGTTGTAATACATGTAGCTGTCAACATTAGGATAAACAATCTAGCTGGTAAGTTGTAATACATGTAGCTGTCAACATTAGGATAAACAATCTAGCTGGTAAGTTGTAATACATGTAGCTGTCAACATTAGGATAAACAATCTAGCTGGTAAGTTGTAATACATGTAGCTGTCAACATTAGGATAAACAATCTAGCTGGTAAGTTGTAATACATGTAGCTGTCAACATTAGGATAAACAATCTAGCTGGTAAGTTGTAATACATGTAGCTGTCAACATTAGGATAAACAATCTAGCTGGTAAGTTGTAATACATGTAGCTGTCAACACTAGGATAAACAATCTAGCTGGTAAGTTGTAATACATGTAGCTGTCAACATTAGGATAAACAATCTAGCTGGTAAGTTGTAATACATGTAGCTGTCAACATTAGGATAAACAATCTAGCTGGTAAGTTGTAATACATGTAGCTGTCAACACTAGGATAAACAATCTAGCTGGTAAGTTGTAATACATGTAGCTGTCAACACTAGGATAAACAATCTAGCTGGTAAGTTGTAATATATGTAGCTGTCAACACTAGGATAAACAATCTAGCTGGTAAGTTGTAATACATGTAGCTGTCAACACTAGGATAAACAATCTAGCTGGTAAGTTGTAATACATGTAGCTGTCAACACTAGGATAAACAATCTAGCTGGTAAGTTGTAATACATGTAGCTGTCAACACTAGGATAAACAATCTAGCTGGTAAGTTGTAATACATGTAGCTGTCAACACTAGGATAAACAATCTAGCTGGTAAGTTGTAATACATGTAGCTGTCAACATTAGGATAAACAATCTAGCTGGTAAGTTGTAATACATGTAGCTGTCAACATTAGGATAAACAATCTAGCTGGTAAGTTGTAATACATGTAGCTGTCAACATTAGGATAAACAATCTAGCTGGTAAGTTGTAATACATGTAGCTGTCAACATTAGGATAAACAATCTAGCTGGTAAGTTGTAATACATGTAGCTGTCAACATTAGGATAAACAATCTAGCTGGTAAGTTGTAATACATGTAGCTGTCAACACTAGGATAAACAATCTAGCTGGTAAGTTGTAATACATGTAGCTGTCAACATTAGGATAAACAATCTAGCTGGTAAGTTGTAATACATGTAGCTGTCAACATTAGGATAAACAATCTAGCTGGTAAGTTGTAATACATGTAGCTGTCAACACTAGGATAAACAATCTAGCTGGTAAGTTGTAATACATGTAGCTGTCAACACTAGGATAAACAATCTAGCTGGTAAGTTGTAATACATGTAGCTGTCAACACTAGGATAAACAATCTAGCTGGTAAGTTGTAATACATGTAGCTGTCAACACTAGGATAAACAATCTAGCTGGTAAGTTGTAATACATGTAGCTGTCAACACTAGGATAAACAATCTAGCTGGTAAGTTGTAATACATGTAGCTGTCAACACTAGGATAAACAATCTAGCTGGTAAGTTGTAATACATGTAGCTGTCAACATTAGGATAAACAATCTAGCTGGTAAGTTGTAATACATGTAGCTGTCAACATTAGGATAAACAATCTAGCTGGTAAGTTGTAATACATGTAGCTGTCAACATTAGGATAAACAATCTAGCTGGTAAGTTGTAATACATGTAGCTGTCAACATTAGGATAAATAATCTAGCTGGTAAGTTGTAATACATGTAGCTGTCAACATTAGGATAAACAATCTAGCTGGTAAGTTGTAATACATGTAGCTGTCAACATTAGGATAAACAATCTAGCTGGTAAGTTGTAATACATGTAGCTGTCAACACTAGGATAAACAATCTAGCTGGTAAGTTGTAATACATGTAGCTGTCAACATTAGGATAAACAATCTAGCTGGTAAGTTGTAATACATGTAGCTGTCAACACTAGGATAAACAATCTAGCTGGTAAGTTGTAATACATGTAGCTGTCAACATTAGGATAAACAATCTAGCTGGTAAGTTGTAATACATGTAGCTGTCAACATTAGGATAAATAATCTAGCTGGTAAGTTGTAATTCATGTAGCTGTCAACATTAGGATAAATAATCTGGCTAAATCAGCATTACTCAGTCTATTAAAACTAAAAGCTACCAATATATTTTTAAACAACTTGGTTAAAATAGTATTATTCAGTCTATAAATTATTCTTATCTTGCTATAAATGCTGTTGATAGCTTATCATTTTGGAACTGCTAACAGATCTAAAATGATTGGTAGACCATGTACAATCCTCTTACAGGCTCATTATTCATCTTTTTTTATTCATATATTTATTTTTATTAATATATTTATTTTTATTTATATATTTAATATACATTTATTTTTTATTCTCACCGTATTCTGCTATTACTAAATTGCTGATTGTAAGGTAATACATAATTGTTTCATAAAACTTGGCTACAATTTAAAGCAGACTAACAAATGCAGGTCAAATTATACTACTGTATTAAATTTCAATCAAACAGTACTAAACTGTATTAAACTTTATCAAACAGAAAATTACTAAACAAAATACCTTTGCAGTATGTACCGTTTCCATCAAATCCATAGTTGCACAGACACAAAAAAGAGCCATTAATGTTTGAACATGTTGCATCTCTATGACAATTGTCAAGATCAAGAGCACATTCATTTATATCTACATATTAAAAGTAAAACAAAATGAGTACTTAAATCACATTTTTAACTGGCATATATATATATATATATATATATATATATATATATATATATATATATATATATATATATATATATATATATATATATATATATATATATATATATATATATATATATATATTATATACATATATATATATATATATATATATATATATATATATATATATATATATATATATATATATATATATATATATATATATTAATGTAAACTAAATTTTTAGATTTTTATTGTATTAAAAACTTCTTTAAAAGCATCTTGGCATCTGTAATTTCAAAGTTATAATTTATCTATGTATATATACTAAACCTTTATGTTAATCAATATGTTAAATCTAATATATACTTGAACTGTTTGGAAACTATTTAGACTATGTTAGAAAGAAAAAATCTTTCAAGTCAAAATGCGGTATTAATATATTTATTAGAAATTATTCTTTTAAATATGAATTTATTTTATTAAATTAACTGATTCTAATAATAAATTATAAAAAAGTAGGGAAGACGAGGGAGACTTTGATTATAAATTAGAAACAAGTATCTATTTTCTATAAAATAATAATTTTTAAATTTTTTACAAAAATAAATATTTTTGTAATTTGTGTTTTGCAAGAATGAAAACAATTTCGATAGATATTAAAATTATTCAAGTATAGATAAATATTAGTATAGATCTAAAGATTAGAGTTGCATTTTCTGGGGTGGATCTTCCAATGATACCCTTTCTTTTTTAGACAAGGTGCAAGAATGCATTGAAAACATGGTTGTACCTAATTTTGCAGCCAACCTCCAACTATTATGACATCGTGGTAATGTTTCTTCTCTTTCTCTTTTCTACAAATACTATAATGGGCACTGATCTAAAGAGCTAGCGTCTCTTGTGCCATCTACTAAAATTCATTCTCGTGTAACTCATCATTCTTTTCTTTTTTTTTTACTATGACTTCCTAAGTGAAAAACATCAGTCCTTTCCAAACATTCGTTGTAATCTTTTATGTTGTCTGTTAATCATTATCCTGCTCTATAAATTTTTTCTTTTCTTTTCCAGTAACTTCCAACTCTAATAGTGGCAGCCTTGTTAAAAATGAAGATGTTAAAAAAAAAGTTGAGAGTTACAAAATAAAAAAACTATTAGCATTCTGAACTATATTGACCTCTTATAAAGCCCAAGTAAGATAAATTCAATAAAATGATAATGCAAGAGTCTGATAATAATAATAAAAACAGGTTTTTTTATTACTTGGTAAAGGCTAAGACAAGCTTAAACTCAATAACAAAACACGATCAAATCACCATAAGTTATTTAGTGAGACAAATAAAATAATAGATAAAGATTTTAATTGGAATAAAGAAAGTTTACCAGCAGTGAATAAAGTTAGTGATTCAGAAGAGTTAACAACTTGTAGATAAGCAAATTCAGCTATTCGTTTGTTCAGTTAAACAGGGTGTTGGTCCTTCTTGTGTATTGGCTGAAAAGTTTCAGGGGTGTTTAGTGAGTGTTGAATCTTTATAATGTTAATTTTTTAAAGTAAAAAATCCCAAATAATTGGAAGAAAAGTTTAATGAAAAATATTTCTCAAGAAGGTAAAAATGTAATAGAATGTGATTCGTACCAAGAATGTGATTCGTAACAAAAATGTGATTGGTTTCAAGGAATAATATTGACCAAGTAATAAATACTTTTTAGAAAAAATTATTGAAAACAAACAAAGCAGTGTATTAATCAATTACATCTAGTTTGGTTTAAATCAGAAAAGAAAACAACAGGTGTAGTATATACTGTAAGTTCAAAAATTATTTTTGAAAATAAAAAAAGTTATGCTAATGGTATTTGTGAATCTTAAAAAACTTTTGACAGAGTATCAATAAGTTAAAAAACAGCTAGTTAAAAAAATATGTTAACACAGCTATGTATAAAAAAATCACAACAGCAATCAAAACATTAGAAGGTTGGTGTATATAAAGGTTCTGTGCTCAGTCATTTGCTTTTTATAATTGCTTTAAATGCTCTCACTCTAAAGAATTCAATGATGGTTTGCCTATGAGCTATTATATGCAAATAATTGCCTATGAGCTATTATATGCAAATAATTGCCTATGAGCTATTATATGCAAATAATTGCCTATGAGCTATTATATGCAAATAATTGCCTATGAGCTATTATATGCAAACAATTTGTTCTTGATTGCAGAGACAGATAATTTAATTTTTTGAAAAATGGAATAGAAGCAAAATTCTTTAGGATAAACATGAATAAGATAAAAGTTATGCTTTGTAAAGTCAAAAATGAGCAAGTAGAAAGTATTGAAAAATGGCCATATGGAGTGTATGGGAAAAGTTATGGAAAACTCAGTTTGAAAAAGACAAAGACTGGTTTTGTGAATATTATAAAGTGTCTCAATAAAACTCAGACATTTAGAGCAGAGAATTGACTGTTTCAGGAAAATAATGTATAAGTGGAGATCTGTTCAAGCACAGAAACATGGGTGCTAAAACGAAAATGATAAAAACATAACTTTGCTTTGAAACATAACTTAGCTTTTTTTTTTGAAAAATATTAAACATTATTTAAAAAAAGAATGACAAAAGAATTGTTACATTAATAAAATATTTTAGAGAAGAGTAGAGATACAACTATTATAAAAAGTTGATATTTTTTTATTTAAAAAGTACTAAAATACAATGTTTTGTTTTATACAATTGTAAAAAAAGGAAAAAATTAATTCTAAAACTAATAGTCATAAAAACAAAAAATTTAAATAAAAGTTAAAATCAAATAGTGATAGTGAGTGGTGACTTGACAAGTACATCACAATTCATAAATATAGGAAGATCAAAATTATAGTGGTAAGGATCGACTGAAAAAATTGGGTTTTATCTGAATTTCAGTTCAACAAGTACATCACCATAAAAACAAAAAATTTTAATATGGAAGGTCCTTAATGTAAATTAAAAAGAGTATAGGGCTAAGGATTGAACCTTGAGAAACTCTTGAAGTTACCGGATATAAAGAAGAGTGCTGTCCATTGAGGACAATTTTTGTACTACAATTGAAAAGGAAGGATTCAATAATCTTGAAGATGTTACCTGATACACCATAAGAAGAAAGCTTATCGAGAAGACCAGCATGCCAAACTTTATCAAAAGCTTTAGAAATGTCAAGAGCAATAGCCATAACCCCTCCACCTCTATCTAATGTACAATAAAACCTATCGATTATTACTGTTAGCAAATCGGCTGTAAAACGAGAATATCAAAATCCATATTGATAATCAGAAACTAAGTTATTAGATTTAAGATGAGAGATCAAGTGTTTGTTAATTAAAGATTCAAAAACTTTGCTTATGATTAAACTAATGGAACGGTAGTTAGACAAGTCAGATTGCTCTTCAGAGTTTTTGAAAATAGGCATAACAGATGCTGCTTTCCAGCATGTCGGCAAATAAAACTCTAATAAGCACTTGCTAAATAGTTTTGAAAATATAGACGACAGCTCCGGAGAACACTTCTGCAAGACTACAACAGGTATGTTGTCTGGACCACAAGCAGTAGAAAAGTCTAAGCAAGAAATCACTTTAGATACAGAAGCTGGAGTAATACGAATGTTGAGCAATCGATCAACCTGTTTGCCAGCAATACCAGGTAGCAACTAGTTGAACCAAGAGATGATATTGATGAAAAAATCTTAGCAAATAATTCAGCTTTGTCTTTGGGTAACAAAATCTGAACCATACAAGAGAGGTGGAATAACAGATTTGTCCTTATTATTGATACTGTTATAGATTCTCGAGTAGTCACGAGAGCTTAATTTTTGAGATAAAATTCAAGATTTTGTGGCCTGAAAATAGCGAGCTTTGGCATTAGACAAAACTTTTTTTGCAATAGTTTCTAGCAATAGTAAACAGCCTTCTGTTTTCTGAAGAATTGTTTTCCTGATAGATATGAAAGTAATGGTTAAGATTGGATTTTGTAGCAGCACAATGTGAAGTAAACAATGAAGAAGAGTGAGGCATGACTTGGAATCACCAAGAGGGATCCTAAACTAGAAAGGATGTGTTATAAATAAATCTGTGCCAGCCTAATAGATAAAGAAGGGATGTGAGGCTGGTCAACAAATAGATTCTGTTTACCCCTTAAGATGTTTAATCTTAATCAAAGCTTGCTATGGCACTGCATGTCAAAATATAGATAAGAAACAATGCAAGACAACAATGAAAACTTGTGGTACCTAATAGCATAGCATAGTCTGAACCGTCTAAAAGAGAGCAAAGAGAAACTGAGCACAAGCTAGGGTCAGAGACAAGATGAAAATCAAGACATGAAGGTAAGTGATTATGGTTGTCTGGAAAACAAAATAAACTATCTGAATAAGAGATTGAGGAAGTCAAAAACTTTGAGCTTTAGAGCCACCAGGGTCAAAAGTACATGGGCCAAGCCATTCACAGCAATGAACATTAAAATCACCAATAACAACAATATTAGCTGAGGGATAAAATTTGAAAAGATGAGTTTTGATTGATGGAACAAGAGATGATATCTCACTTGAGCAGCAACCATGGTAGTATTTGTAAAAAAATGAAAGAGAAGCAAAATTGCACTTGTTCAAGCTTGGCAGCTGGAGCAACTCAAACAACATTAACCATGTGTTTTTAGGCCTTGTCTAAAAGAAAAAGAAATTCATTAAGTGAACCAGCCTCAATATGATATTAGTACTCCATACAAAGACTAAAATGGGATATTAGAAGTTTGTTAATTAAAGACTTGTAGACTTTGCTAATAATAGTAAACAGATTGTTTGGCTGATATTTATAAGGGAAAAGTTTTTAAAAAATTAGGAAGTTCAAAGACAAGATGAATCTAATCTTAGATCGAGATAAAAAATTTTATAAGATAATAGCATGATCTCATTAAAATCACAAAAAGAATTACGAGATGAAAAATTTATAGAGGTCAATACATGCTTGGAAAACAAGTTGAAACTGAGTACAAGCTAGGATCTGAAACAAAACATATAAAGTAAATGCAAGTGACTAGGGTTGTCTGGAAAACAAGTCATAAAGTCTGAGTAAAAAATTGAGGAAGTAAAAATTTGAGGGTTTAGCGCTAGCAAGATCAGTGGTATTAAAGTGAAACCATTTATGCGCATTGAAGTCACCAATAACAACAATATTGGGTAAAGGAGAAATGAAAAGCTTTGTTCAATTTGAAAAAAAATTGGAAAGAGTACAGTAAAAAAAAGGAACTAAAAAGAACAAAATTTAAGGTAAATATCCAAAGAGGCGCAAACAAAAGCAATGTTAGGAAAACTAGAGAACCTGTTTTCTAAAAAATAGGCAAATTGATACATAAGTAAATACATAAATAAAGTTAAACATGAGATATTTGTGGTCTTTGTAAATCAAAGGATAATAGTCATTAACAATAAGATCCAATGATGAAACATTCATAAAGAACAAGTAAGTATGGTGAATGACAAGTCTCAAAATGACAAGTCTCAAAAAAGCATTTATAGCCATTAAATAGCAACTTTTTTCGATGAAAACTTAATCCTGTGAAGATTTATCCAAATCTGGAAATTACATTTCAGACCTAAACCTGAATAAAGATATAGAATGGAGAGAAAAGATAAATTATAATGATTACCATATAGTATTTAATATGCAAATAAAAATTGTTAGGAGATAATTTAACACAGCAAGATAAAATATCCAGCTACATTGATAAAATCACATTTAAGCCCCAAAAAACCTACCTAGGTTCGTAAACAAAACTTAAATTTAAAAAAATTTTTACAAATAAAAAACAAGTGACAACTTAATTGAATTAGGTAAACATTGACAAAGTGGATTGACACATCTTTAAAAAATAACTTTTTTTTTTAGCTGTGACAAACTAAATTCAATTTATATTTCTATGTTTACTAATGACAATGCTGCCATAAACTGATGAAGAATTTAATTATCTAATATTATTGATAGATAATTAATTTTGTTTTTTGGTTCAACTGTCAATGCTACCCCTGGGGTAATTAATTATTACAATAACTATTAAGTTATTGTGATGTACGATATACGTACTATTGTTAAACTATCAACATCACATTAATGACTCAATATCTGATTACAATGAAATCCCACAAGGCTGTAATTTTTTTGTTGGATTTCTTCGTTATAAATTTTTTAGTGCTTGGTTTAATTTCAGAAACAACAAGATAATTTTTTACATTTTGTTCTTACCAATGTTATGCAACATTTTAAGGTATGAATTTTAACTTTTTGCAAGTATCGGTTTTTAGATTTGTTAAAATTTGATGAATTGGTACTTTTTTTTTTTTTTAGAATTACTCTTTTAATTTAGGGTTTGCTTTGCTTGATTCAATTTCATGTAATTGTGAAAGATTCATCAGGTGCAAGACATTCCACCAACTTTTGCTTGATTCTCGATCCATGGGGTGACTTGAGCACTCCTGTCAATGTTACCCCAAAACTAAAAAACGCATTAAAAAAAAAAATGCTACAAAAAAATTTTATTTAGAAATAACATCATAAAAACATATGTAAAAATGATATTATGTATGATTTTACTTAACTTTGGACTAAAACATTTCAGCAACAAAATAACTAGAAATTAGTTTAACTTATGTTCTCCATAATGTGTTGTCATTTACACTATTATATAGATAAAAATAGTTATATTTGTTTATTTAACATTGGGCTACAAAATCTTTTAAACTAATTTAAACAATAATCAACGGGTGACTTGTAAAAACATTTAATCTAATAGATGTCAATGTTACCTACATGTCAAAGTAACCCTGCGTTACCTTGCTGGGTAAAGATGTCAATTGATTGGTGTAAACATTGTATAAATGTAAAAACTGAAAATTTTTAGTCCATTATTTTAAGTAGAGATTTATTGTGTCATTTTTTATTATTAATATTATGGTTATTTTTTATTATTATTGTATATCGATACACTCTATTTATTCCATATATTTCAAGACTATAGTTGTAATATTCAATAAAAGTTATTGTAATATTCAATAAAAATAAAGTATATCTTATAAAACCATGAATATAATAATTTACGGATATAATGGGTTTATTCAAGACAGAAATATACATTTCAAGAAAATAATACTTTCTTTTAAATAATATCTTTAATCAATAATATATCAGTTTAAAGATTTGATTTTAGCACTTTTGTAACCATGAAAATCTTATAAAAGATTTTAAAAAAATGAAAATACTAGATACTATAATGCAGCAGACATTTTTTACCTGTTTGTTTAGAGATCAAAAATGGTAAATCTCAGTTCCGAAGAGAGAGAGAAGAAAGAGAAGAGAGTTTCAGTGAGAAAGCTTCAGAACATCTCAGAGTTCAGAAACTCAGAAATTTTGCAATATTTTTTATCACTAAACTAACAGAGAGAGTTTCACAAACTAAAAAAAAAAACTTAAAAACTTAAAAACTTGTTTTTAATAAAAAAAATTTCAACCAAATAATTTTTTTTTACTCAATAAAAATATTTTTACTTAATATCACAATTAAAAGATACTTTAAAGGATTTGTGTGACTTAGTCAAACAAAAATGGTAAATACTTAGAAGTAACTATGGAAACAATTATTTGTTAAAAAGTTTATAGAAAATAGTTGCTACCTCTACAGGTGACACCATTTCCTTCAAAGCCATTTTTGCAAGTACAATGAAATGAACCAACCGAATTAATGCAATCAGCATCTTTATGACAGTTATGAAAACTATCCTGAACACATTCATTCACATCTGGCTTGAAAAAAATTAATTAGAGATAACAGAGATTAAAATATAAAAGATAATCAATATTAAAATTTACCTGTGCAAGTAAATCCATCTCCCTTATATCCTTTCCTGCAAAAACATTTGTAACTTCCTCTAGTATTTGTACAATCTGCATTAGCATCACAACCATGGGAAGATGTTTTGCATTCATTGACATCTGTCAAGATGAAATGCAAGTTTTTCAACAAACTATTTTTATTTTATTATAAAATTTTAATTTTTAATTATTATTACCATGGCAGTTTATTCCATCTCCTAGGTAACCAGTTTTACACATGCAAGAATAAGAACCATCTGTATTCAAACAATTTGCATCGATATGACATATGTCTAACTCCATTTGACATTCATCTCGATCTTGAATAAATGCATCAAACAATTTAAATAATAATAAACTATGATTCTTTTAATTTAATAGTTTTCAAAATTTATTTTAAAATAATTCAAACTTATTATATTAGTAATAATATCTTATAACTAGATTATTTTAAGTATTTGAAGAGATTTTTAAAAAATGTTTAAAACTGAATGCAATCTGCTTTTAAGAAAGTAATCTTTTATTTTTTGTTGGTTTTGAATTTGTTTTTTTTTCTTTCTCATTTAGAAACTTGAAAAATTACCTTCACAGTTAATACCATCACCTTCATACTCCTCAATACAACTACATTTAAAAGAGCCAATTGTATTAGTGCAAGTAGCGTTGGTGTGACAGTTGTGTAATTTCTCAGAACATTCATCTACATCTATACAAAAAAGTAAAAAAAAAAACTATGTATATAATAGTAGATGTAAAAAATTTATAATAAAGATAATTCTAAAATAATAATAATAATACCTGAGCACTTCACTCCATCACCAGAGAATCCACTTTTACAAAGACATTCATAATCATCTTTAGTATCTATGCAGTTTGCATTTTGGTGGCAATTATTTTTGCCTTCAAGACACTCATTAAAATCTGAAAAACCACCCAAAACAAAATCAGTAACTAAATTTATGTTTTAAACTTCCATTTAGACTTTATCAATAACAAATCATCTTGCTAAACTTCTTTTCTCACTACATTACTTTTCATTGTCTTTCATTTCATTGCTTACTTTCCTTTTATAAACCCATTATAAATCCTCTCATTATAAACCTCTCTATTTTTGCTATATTTTTATAAACCTTCACACCATAAAATTTTTATAAATGTTTTTACTGCCTTATATTGTATCATTACAAACTTTATTACTTATTTATCTAAATATCTGTAATGTACTATCATACCTCTGTACCATGCGCATGAAATGCCATCACCTTCAAAGCTCAACTTGCATGTGCATGTATAAGAGCCAAAAGTGTTAGTGCAAAAAGCGAATGCATGACAATTATTGTCAAAATTACATTCATTCACATCTAATAAAAAAATATTTAAAGATTTTATTAAAGTTTCCTACAGTACACAATATTATACACAAAAGAAAAAATCATTTAAAAAATTTGTTTGTATTTGGAATTTTTTGACTTGTCATTTTTATAACTTACTACTATAATTCCTTAATGTTTACCTCACCATCTTAATTTTTAACTCACTATCTTTGTTATGCTAACTATGCCGCAAATAAAACTTGTAAATTTATACACATAATAAACATGTTTTTGTTTTTTTAACATCTTTACTTCTAACAAGGCTACAAGCAACAACTGTTAGAGTTAAAATTTACTGGATAAAGTTTATAAAGCAAGATAACAATTAACAGACAACTGAAAAGATTTCAAACTATATGAATCAGGAAAACAAGATAAAGGAAGCGACTTCTGAAGGACTGATCGAGAAAAAAAACTAGAGGAATAAGAATTTTTGGAGCACTTAGGAACAGTCACAGTAAAAGGATGAGACTTATTTGAATGACAAGTAACACAAGAATAAATTTTAGTAGATGGTACAAGAGACACTAGCTCTTTAGAGCAGTACCCATTATACTATTTATAGAAAAGAAAAAGAGAAGCAACATTACGACGAATTGATAATGATTGGAGGTTGGCTGTAAGAGCAGGTCAAACTATGTTTACAATTCATTTTTGTACCTTGTCTAAAAGAGAAAGGGAATCATTAGAAGATCCACCCTAGATATGGCAACAGTATTCCATACAAGGAGGGATTTAAGATTTGTAGAGATAAAGAATAGAATCCTAAGAAAGAAAGTGGCGAGTATGATAAAGAGATGCAACCTTAGCAGATGCTAATATTGGTCAATAATGATTAGCTGATGATAACAATTAGCTGAAAAAAATTGAGCTTTATCTGAGTTAAAGATCACCAACCCCAATTCTTCAATGAGAACCCCATGCTGTAGCAGAAGTGAGATCCTTTTTAAGCTTAAATGCCCCCTCCAGACAATCAGAGAGTATTGACTTCTTTTTAAGACAATAATAAATAATAGTATCATCAGTGAACAATGCCACCATAAATGTGAGAATTTCTAGAAGAACATTGACGTAAATTAAAAAAATTATAGGGTCAAGGATAGAACCTTGAGGAACCCCTGAAGTTGCAGTCCATCGAGGACAACTTTTATATTATAATTGGAAAGGAAGGATTCAATAATTTTAAAGATGTTACCTCATACACCATAAGGAGACTTTGATAAGCACTTGTTAAATAGTTTTAAAAGTAAAGAAGACAGCTCCGGAGAACACTTCTGCAAGACTATAACAGATATGTTGTCTGGACCTCAAGCTGTAGAGTCTAAGTAGAAAATCACTTTAGATAGAGAAGCAGGATGTAATACCAATGACAAGAAATGAATCAACATGAGCAAAAGAGATGGAATAACAGATCTCTCCTTATTATAGACACTGTTAAAAATTCTACAGAAGTCTTAGGAGCCTAATTTTTTAGATAAAATACAAGATTTCATGGCCTAGAATAGGCCTTTTTACGATGGTTTCTACCAATAGTAAACACATGTCTGTTCTCTCGAGAATTTAAGCTAGTTTCAGAAAAGTGAATTTAATTTAAATTTGAATAATACAGTCAAAGTAATTTATACATTGAAAATTATTAAAGAAATAAAACTAAAAAAATCTGGTGTACTAAAAAACTTTCATAAAAATTTATATAAAAGTTGTACCTGAAGCTGAATATAAAGCCTGAAACCCTTCAAGTTCGGTATCATGATCTGATCTAAAAACAATAGTCATAGGCCCTAGTACAGTTAAAGGTGGAGGTGCCAGCTCACAGTATTGTTTGCCAAGCATTGGGTATGAACTGTTGGGTCCAGTAAAAATAGCAACATAATCATAACTGCAATTTGATTTTTCAAGATAGAACTTGGTAAAATATAGCCTAGTATTGAATCCAAATCCAAAATCAATTGTCCATTCACACAACGAAGATGATGGATAACTTCTAGGATATTGTGGACTTTCAATTATTCCTTCATAAAACTTCATTTTTAAGGTACAAATACCTAAAATTGTAATCAAATACTAAATAAAAATTGTAAACTAAATAGATTTAACACTACAATATCATTAAATAGCATTAGTTTTAAAATTAAAATAAACTAAAGTATAAAATATAATCATATATACAATAAATATAATCATATATATAATAAATATAATCATATATATAATAAATATAATCATATAAATAGCATTAAAGTTCAATTGTACCTTGGTAATCGAGTCGAAAACCACGGTGTCTTTCTTGAGTTTTCATGTGTATAAATATATAATTTTTAGATGACAATATTTTTTTCCCTATTCTCCATGCACAAAGTTTGTCAATTAATGGACTTTCTGTAGTATTTCCATCTCTCACAATAACCCAGTCTGTTGCGTCTTTGCAATCCAAGTCTCTTTTCTATGAAAAAAAAACGTATAACAAGTGAAATGGAAAAAAAATTTGATTGATATTGCAGAATGCTGCTTATTAAAAACTACAAGTCCAATAAATTAGAATAAATTATTTGCAATTTAAAAATTCCAGAATAAATACAAATACTATTATTACTACCAAAAAAAAATTTATTGTATTTCACAACTTTTTAAGAATTTTTCTTTACTAATGATATTTATTTTTATTTTTTACTTTATTTATGACTAAGTGATCACTAACAAAAATATTAGATACTCAATTTTATTGCCTAGAACCAAATAAAAAATAGTGAAACAAAAAGTTTGCTTTAGTTGCTTATGCTTTTAAAATGAAGAATTCCTATATGTTTTTCTTGCATTTAAAACAGCTAAAACAAATGAAATTCATATACTTAAAGACAAAAACTCTAGTTTGCATGAACAAATAAAGAATCTTAAAAAAGAGAAAATTATTTAAGAAGGAAAAGTAACAGCTCTAGAGGACCAGCGAACCAAGGATGTAAGCATCTTTTCATCACTATTTTCAGAACCTAACACTAGCAACAGCAATCCAACAAACTCCAGCTGGGCCTTAGTTGTTTTTGGATAAGTGAAAGTAACTAGACCAAATGCTTAATTTGAATTACTTGATGCAAATGCATGTGAAGTCCAGGAAAGAGGAAGAAAACAGAAAAATATTATTATTTTTGATACGATGACATCGCTTTCTCCAGTAGCCGCTGACCATATCAAACATGAAAAAGCACTGGTAACATCACTCTTAAAGGGGCCTAATGATGAATGTAAACATGTTGCTATTAGATGCTTCAGAGGTGGCAAAAGTAACTCAGCTCAAGCAGGTTCATTACAAGTAGTTTTTACCAACATAAAAGAAAGAAATATGATTCTCAATGTTGCCCATAAACTAAGACTTAACAATGGTCAAAATGGTATCTACACCAACCCAGATGAAACTCCTGCTCAACAAAGGCAATCAAAACTGCTACATATAGAATGTAACAGAATCAATAGAAATATAAAAATGGTTATTAATAATAAAATTAAAAAAACATCTGAACAATTGTAGTTGTTTTTGTACAAATTTTTTCTTTGACTTCGACCTCAATAAACTCATTGAAACTTGCTGAGCTGTAAAGCCTTATTCAAACTTCAAAAGTACCACCAAGTCTTGTCTTTATAACAGAAACATGGTTTAATAAAAATTCTATTTCTAATCTCATAAAATATATTACTTTCAAGTATGATCGAATAAACTAATCCTAACAGTGGATTCTGCATTTAATTATCTGACACACTAATTGCACTGCATCATTCAGCACTAGCTGAAGACTTTATTGAGATATTTGATTCCAATCATTTTAACACAACATGTCAATTTTAATACTTTTTAATTGAACTCAATATTAGGCCCAACTAGCACTCTGGACCTTATATTAACTGAATCTTTGCAACATGTATTTTTTCTTTAAATACAATCTCAACTTGGCTGCACCAAAATGGGACAAGCTCAATTATGATTAATTTGGAATTACACTGTAAAATCTTTAAGTCTTCCTAGAAATTTTTTTTCTTCATCTCAACAAGAACAACATTACAACTGATCAAAGATCTATGAAAGAATCAAATGGTACAACTGATCAAAGAAATATAATCAAAAATATATATAATCTAAACAATTTTTTTGCATCTGATTTACTCCTTTAAGTTTAAGTCAATCTTTGTCAGTGTTAAAAAACACAAATTTTTTAGATCCAATTGATAAGACGTCGGTTTTGAATAAACCTAATGAAAACTACACACCAATCACTACTATCAAACTCAGTTTGTATAAACAAGCAGGCATAGATGACATTCACCCACACAATCTCAACAAATGTTCTTTATCTCTGAATGTGCCTATCACTTATATATTTATAAATCTATTTTTAGAGGTCTAGTCCCAGTTGCATGGCTGGAAGCTAACATCACATCTTTTCACAAAAAAGGGTCTAAACTTGATGCATCAAACTACAGACCCATTTCTTTAACATCTGTCTGCTGCAAACTCATAGAGCATATTGTAAAAGTTTGTTTAACAGAGTATCTATCTGGTAATAGTCTTTTATCTCTAAACTAGCATGGATTTGTTCCAAATAATCATGTATTACCAATTTATTGGAAACTGTATATCAGATTATATCTAGATTATGAAAAAGCATTTGACACACCTCCTCGTGATCTTATGCTCCACAAACTTTCTGCTTATGGCGCCTCTTATATGCTACTTAATTGAAAAATATCTTTTCTTTCTAACAAAACACAGCAAAGTGTCATGGGTTCTGCTACTACAGATTGGTTACCAGTCACTATTAGTTTCCCACAAGGACCTGTTCTAGGACCTCTTCTATTTGTCTTCTAAATCAATGATATTACAGACCTAGTTAGCAATCTAATGAAGTTATATGCTAATGACAGCAAAGTTATTTCTAATAAATTGACCCCTGACACCCTAATTATGCTCCAGAATGACATAAATCAAATCATATTTTGGACTACAACCTGGCGCTTATGTTTTAACTACAAAAAATGCCTTATCTTACATTTCAATAAAAACAAAAATCCTAATCACCAACACTATATCTTGACTCCACAAGGGATGCAGTTTCTTGATTCCTCTTACAACAAAAGAGATCTTGGTATTTGCATTTCACACAACCTCAAATGGGACATGCATGTCAAAATAATATCATCAAAAGCAAACGTCCTCAGTCAACTACAGAAAGCTTTTATCTATAAAAATGCACATGTTTTGAATAGACTTTATACATCGCTGGCCAGACCTCATCTCCAGTATGCTGCTCCTGTTTGAAATTCTATTTCCGCACACAACATTAAAAACTTGAAAAAGTTTAAAACTGCGCCGCCAAAGAAATTCCGCTTCTTAGCGTAATATAGCGAAGCTAGATTACCACATCTTCATCTCACCTCACTAAATGAAAAATGCAATCGAGATGATTTACAACTTCAAGTTTATCAATAACTTCGAAAATATTTGTTGGCTTAAAATACAAATTGGCAATCCATATGATTGAATAACTCGAGGAAACTCTCAGCGCCTCCTCAAATAGTTCTTTAATGCATCTGATCTCAACAATAACATGTGAGCACTTTGACAAGCATTAGCATTATAACTATCCACCGAAATTCTACTACAGCTCATTACCTACTGACAAGGAGCTTAAGGGTTGTTACATTTTTTTTTTTAAATTTATCTCCCCAAGGTTCTCCAAAAGGGGCATAAAAATTATCCACTTCAGCTGAGAAGGCAACTTTATTTCTTACTTTTTATTTATTTTTGATTTTGCAACTCTCTTTCAACAATATAAAAAGAAATGAATACCAGTCATAGAGAAGCCATTCGTTCCTGAGATGGTTGTTGAGAAGCATCTTAAATTTTTTAGTGAGGTTCATTTATGATGTTGTTAAGAAGAGAGTTCCATTTATTAATTATTCTTATAGAAAAAAAGTTTGTATATATATATATATATATACATACATATATATATATATATATATATATATATATATATATATATATATATATATATATATATATATATATATATATATATATATATATATATATATATATATATATATATCATTGGTAAAAAAAAGTCTAAGTGAAGAGAAAACTGTATTAAAGACACTTACAGCATTTGGATACAGCGACATCTATATTTAAAAAAACTCAAATTATTTTTAAATTAAAAAAAATATTATAAAAAATTAGTTTAACTTTTAAAGTTTAAAATTTAAAAAAAGTGATTAAAAACTTATTTTACAAAATAAAATCATAAAAATAAACATAAGAGCAAATTTTTTAAGAAATCATTTGAAGAGAAAGTTTCTCACCCCAAAATCTCGAAACTCTGCACTTATGAGGTTTCCATTTGATACAGCTATGATCCATTTACAGTCCAGACCACTAGCATATTCTGGATAACCAGGTGACTGAATTTGACCAACCCAGTCATTCACAATAAGGGGTTTATCACATTGACAAAGAGCTATAATTATATGAAAAAAAATTATTTTTTTTCCTATTTGGAATTTGTAACATTTTATTATAAAATTTTATATTTTACCTCATAATATTTACATTACTATTATATATATATATATATATATATATATATATATATATATATATATATATATATATATATATATATATATATATATATATATATATATACATATATATATATATATATATATATATATATATGTATATATATATATGTATATATATATACATATATATATATATATATATATATATATATATATATATATATATATATATATATATATATATATATATATATATATATATATATATATATATATATATATATATATATATATATATATATATATATATATATATATATATATATATATATATAGTTAGTGTTGTGATATTTTAATAACTTATATACTTTTATTTATATATAATTTTTATATAATTTTTAATTTTATATATAATTTTAGTTTGTGAAAACTTTTCTTTCAAACAATCTGAATTTTTTTCTTTGGTTATGGTCAGTTTTTACGAAAAATAATGAATTAAAAGATAAAAGATATAAATTAAAAGATAAAATATATTACAGTTCAAAACTTTTGAACTGTAATATATTATCTTTTATCTTTTAATTCATTATTTTTCTAATCTTTTAATTCATTATTTTTCTAATGATAAACTAAAATAATAGATAAATTTAAGGCTGTTGCTAGGACATGATTTCTTTAATAGAGATCATGTAATAATCTAAAAAGTAATTTTTCATCATTTTAAACATTTTTTGTTTATTATTTTTAGCACGTGTCTTCGTCAAGTAAACAAATCTTGCAGCTTAAGGCTGTTTTCCACAAGACGAAAATATTCGCGTGAAGCGAATTTTTTCGTCGATAAGCTAAGATAATTTCGTCTAGTCTCGTAACTACTATATATTTTATAGTAGTTACAAGACCGGAGAACCTGAAAAAGAAAAAGTCTTAACATTTTTATATGTTTTTTTATTTTTATTTAATTGTTTAGTTTACAAGTCGTAATTTGTATAAGTCGTATTACAAGTCGTAATTTTGTCTTATTGAAAAAAGTTTTTTTATGGCATTGTCTTATAAAAATAGATTGGTATCGTCAGCAAACATGGTGCTCATGAGATGAAAAGCTTTAATTAAATCATTAAAACATACTTAAAAAAGGAGTGGACCAAGAATAGAACCCTGTGGAACCCTGTGGAACACAACTTTTTGTTTCAGTTATTGTTTTATTTTTGAGACTCATAGAAAGTAGTTTATCCCTATAGTAGACAAATTGCTTCCTATTTGATAAGTATCTTTAAGACTTCACGAGTAAACTTAACAATGGCTTGTTCAGTTGAACTATTTTTTTAAAGCCAAATTGGTTTTTATATAGTAATTTATTCGTAATCAGGAAGTTGCATTTCTTTTTATATATGATTTTTTATAAAATTTTTGAAAATGTGGAGAGGACAGAAATAGGGCGATAATTATTAACATTTGATTTTTCCTTTTTTTCGTCTTTGTGAATCAGGATAACTTTGTAAATTTTTAGTTGGTGAAAAAAACCCCTTGTGGTATAGATGTTTTGAAGACTTTAAAAAGAATATTTTCAAGTTTTCATAGCACTCAATAATTATGTCTCCGTTTATTCCTTCCGCCCCGATTGTTTTGCGTCTTTTTAGAGATTAGAATGCTCTTTCAAACTCTTCAATTGGTAAACCTAGCAATAAATCATGAAAAGGTGAGATATTGGTAGATTTGAAAAAATGGTGAATGGAAATATCAGTAGAAAGAATCCTATTAACAAGTTTACTTCCAATACCAATAAAATATTTATTAAATTCATTTGCTATTTCATTTGGTTCACATATACATACGTTATTTATTTTAATCATTTTTGGTAGGATATTTGAGAAGTTATTTTGTTCTACAGATATTTCTTTTAATATTTTCCATTAATGTTTTGAGTCATTTTTATATGTATATATCATTATGATATATACGTATATGATATATGTTTATATATCATAAGTATATGTATATAGTGATTGATATGTATAAAGTGATATTGAATTGAGATTATATATATATATATATATATATATATATATATATATATATATATATATATATATATATATATATATATATATATATATATATATATATATATATATATATATATATATATATATATATATATATAAAAGGTTAGATGAGAAAAAACAACTTTTTTACGGTACTTAAAGTTTCATGCCGTTTTCGGCACTCATTATGGCTGATGAGATAAGTTGTTTTTTCTCATCTAACCTTTTATTTATTTATTGATCTATTTTGTGATTATTTCACTTCATATTGATCACTCTCAAATTGAAAAAGAGTTGATTATTATCAAATAATCAAAACAACAATGTATATATATATATATATATATATATATATATATATATATATATATATATATATATATATATATATATATATATATATATATATATATATATATATATATAAATAGATAGATAGATATATTGATATATATACAGGGCCGCCGCGTGGGTAGGGTCACTGGATACTTTTTACCTGGGCGCAGGATCAGAAGGGGCGCACAAATGAAAACTTTTTTTTTTTTTTTAATTATAAAATATATACATAGGGCTTTAATGAAAAACTCTTTAAACTCGTAATTTAAAAATGAATTGTTTACTCAACAATACAGCATTAGCCAAATTCATATTCGGGAGTCTAACACTAGCCAAAACCGTTGCGGGAAAATACTTTTAAGGGCTGCTAGGTTAAAAAGGATCATATATAATCAAATATATATATATATAAATATAAATATATATATATATATATATATATATATATATATATATATATATATATATATATATATATATATATATATATATATATTTATATATATATATATATATATATATATATATATATATATATATATATATATATATATATATATATATATATATATTAAATATGGAATGGTGGCATCAATGGAGTTAAAAAATGCCACCAAAACAATCCATCGAAATTATTACATTAAGTGGAAAACAGCGCTAAATTGGAAACCAGTGCGAGATTGATTCAAGTTTAGAAAAATCGATAAGAAATTAGGCAGCCAGGCAGCGTGAAATTTTAAGGTGCATCTTAGATGTAATTCTCTTCTTGGCATCACGCTTTAGAGGTATGTTAGTGAATGTTAATTATTATATTTATGTCATAATTTATTTTTATTATAATTAAACAGAAAGTCATGGTTTATATGTGTAAACATGTATTATTACATGTATGTATTAAAATCATCGTTTTAGACTCTTCAAAAATGATCAACGATGACGATAACGGTAATTTTCTTCCAACTCTGAAGCTACTCGCAAAGCACAACAAGACCCTTTAGTTACATCAGAATGAGGTTTTCTGGTGTCAACATGAAGGTAAACAAATTATTGTGCATTTTCTGGGTTGGAGTTCCCAAAATGACTTTATAAAAAATTGCGGAAAATTTTTTTTTTTTTTTTTTTTATTCACCTCCTCAAGCCCGAGAAGGCCACTACAGACAAGGAGGCTACTTAATAGTGGTTATAATCCTCTCTCAACTCCGAAACACGAACCTTGACGAACAAGGCCGCTGTGCGGAGAAACAAGTTGAGCACGGTACTACCAGGGACGTGGTGGGGATCGAACTCGGAGAATTGTCCACGGTGCAATCATTAAAGATGCGCATATAGTAATTTACTATTTTATTATTGTCGAAGGAACGCCTGACGTCTCTTATACTGAGCAAATTGCATTTGTTCTCCGCTTTGTCTACAATGGTATTGATAAAAGACAGGTAGTTAAGGAGCGCTTTCTTAAGGTCGAAAATCTTAAACAAAAGAAAGTTGCGGATATTGCCAAGATAATTATGGATTTCTAGAATCAAAATGACATCAATCTGAAGAACTTTCGAGGTCAAGGGAACAACAACGGTGCCAACATGTCTGCTGTATACAAAGGAGTAAAAGCGATCATCCTTCAGAGAAATCCTGAAGCTTTCTACATGCTATGTAGCGCTCATAACCTTAACCTAGCTAGTGTTCATTCCCTTGAATCCTCTTTAGAAATAAAAAACTATTGTAGCCGGATTCAGTTACTCTACAACCTTTTTAGTGGAAGCCCTATACAATGTCAAATCTTGACCAAGACAACTGGTTCGTCTCTTCGTTAAACCTCACAAACCCGATGGAGTGCACGATTGAGACTTTAAAGCCGTTGGTTAAGCAACCTAGAGAAATGATTTTTTCTTTTCAGAAACTTTAGGAACTTGATTTAACTGCTGATCTATTGAATGACGTAAAATCTTTGAAGAAATGGATTTATTCATTTGAGTTTATAATCATGACAACTTTCTGGTTTGAAGCGCGCCAAGCAATTGTCAGCGTGTCATTTCAATCAGCAAACATTACTTTAGATGAAGATATGAAGCTTATGAGGGTTCCTATCGAGGATCTTGTGAATTTAGATATTCTTGGCCCAAATTAATTAATGAAGCACATTTGGTTACCTCCGGTCTAGCTAGTTATTGGTTTTAGTCAAAGTTAGTTCAAAAAGGACAAGGAAGAGAAAAACCTTTTGCAAAGAAACAAGTTCATTTCTACGAAAACAATAAAAAACAGTTTGAGGTGAACATATTTAACACTGTACCCAATTTTCAAAACGCCTTTAGATGCTGTTTACGTAATTCAAATAAAACGCAATTAAAAATAAAAATACAAGAAAGTTTTGGTTAAACGCCTAAATAAGCTTATTTTCTAAAAAAGTCAATTTTGATTTTTTTTACCTTAAGGCGTTTTGAAAAACGGCTGAAGAACACCGCTCTCGATGCATCAATCCAACAAATGAGACAGATTTCGAGCTGCAGAAAAAATGACAAACAGTTTCTCCTTCTTATGGTTCTCGGAATCTAATAGTAGGTCGAGTGAAGAAAAATGAACCACCTAGTCTAGAGGAGAAATCTAAAACTTTGGCGCAAATCTATGTGAACAATGTAGATGAAGACAAACTAATTTTAGAAGTCCATCATCTAGGTATTCTGAAGCACGCGAAGCTTTTCAGTGCAAAAGAATATCTCACTTCAATGAAGCTATTAAATGGAATCTATTAAAAAGGTCTTGAGTCTATCTTCGAATCAATATGTATTTTGTTACGTATTTTTAACACGGTTCTCATTTTCATTGCCAAAAGAGAGATCTTTTAGTAAGCTTCGTCTAGACAACATTAAGATCTACAATAAGTCAAGACCGGCTTACTAATTTCTTAGTTATATTTATTGAATATGATCTTGCAAAAAATCTGTGCTACCACAAGCTCATTCCAAATTTTGCTTTAAATTATGCCCGTTGAGTCAAGTTCTCATGAAGCAATTAAAATATCTATTACAATTAAAACTTTTCGTTACTCGCAATGTAATAAAGTTCAGTAACTTGTCAACTTACGCTTCTTTTTTACTTTTATTTCAAGTTTATTTTAAAAATAAATAGAAGCCTCCTTGACTGTATTTACTCCCTCAGTCTTTACAAGTGAATTTAGTTAAAAAAAAAAAAGACAGTATTTGGACAGTACCTAAACCTTTTTGAATTAGATCAATATGACAGGGCGTTAGATAAGTTTTGACCCTGGGCGTCATAAAGGGTCGCGTCGGGCCTGCATATATATATATATATATATATATATATATATATATATATATATATATATATATATATATATATATATATATATATATATATATATATATATATATATATATATATATATATATATATATATATATATATATATGTATATATATATATGTATATATATATATATATATATATATATGTATATATATATATATATATATATATATATATATATATATATATATATATATATATATATATATATATATATATATATTATATATTATATATTATATATTATCGGTATCTTATGATCACAAAAATCTTATCATCGCCTTTGATAATAAAAATGAGGGCAAAGATGTATTGTTAGAAAAAATCAAGTAAAGAATTTTGAGTGAAAATAAGTTAAATTATATTCTTGTTAAATTTTTGAGCGGTATTGGTTTCTCTAAGTTTACGACTCAGGCTTGTTAAATGTTTCTATATCATTGGGCCAAGATAAAAAATGGAAAACTTTGTGAGTTTTGATTAATGGAAAAGTTTTACAAACCTTCCTGTAGATTAATTATTGCATCGGTTTGATGTTTTAGAAAAAATATTTTTATATATATTTGGAGTTTTTTTAAATTGATGTTGGAACATAAATTGCGTGACTTTGAATATGTTTATTTCATAAATATTAGGAGATCTCGTGCTTCTTAGAAGAGATTTAGCATTTGTGAAGTGATTTTGATAATAAATAGGTTATGCTGCATGATTCTGTTACTTGAGGAGAATTCGTTTTTATTTTTATTTTTTTTGTACTGCCCCAAACAATATTGTTATAAGATAAGTAATTATTGATGAATGCAAAATTTAGCTGAGTTTGTGTAGATTTGTCTAAGATTTGACGGGATATATATCAAATACCGATATTTCTCAAGATTTTATTGCGAATATATTTAATATGATCTTTCCAGGATAAGTTTTCGTCTATTAAAACACCAAGTAATTTGTTTGTGAATGAGTGCTCAATTTTGATGTTATTTATATATAGGATTGGTAAGGATGTAGAAATTAAAACTTTTGTTTAGGAAAACTTAGTTTTATCAGTGTTTTAAGAATGGGTGTTAGCGTTAAACTAGTTTGGTATTTGTTCTAATTCTTTGTTTTCTACTTGAAATAAAGAGATAGTATTACTGTATAAATAAAATAAAGTGTTACAAAAATGAGAGTAGACATATTTAGTATATGATAGTATTAGTATTTGATGCTCTAAATAGAACGTTGATATAGGTTTAAAATAGTAAACCTAAGATAGTGTCTTAACCCCACATAATATTTTATGTTTTTTGTCTGAACACCGTCATTTAGAGATATATGTTATCGACCAGTTTTATCAAAAAATATTTAACCCTGAGTTTTGACCACCCACCTCCTCCCTAAGAAAATAAAAAATTTATTCGAAGCATAATGCATTTCCGAATCGGCCACAATAAATTCCTTCAGTAAATGTAAATAAAACTTATCTAATTTAATTTTTGTACTTATATGTATTTTAAATTAAGATCTGGTGCTGAAACCAAAGTCTTTAGGGTCTCCCATATATACTTAAAGCGATTAGGGAGGGGTAAGTTGCAAAAAGCGTTTAATAAAGTAATTAGGGGAGTAGGGGAAGTAGGGAGACGGGAAAGTACGTACGCTCTAATTCAAAAAAATATTTTTTAATTTACTTATATTTTTTTTCTGAACTATAACATTTTTTATTTATAAAGGAGAAGGATGAGGGGGAGAGGAGGATTTCAAAATATTTTAGGGAGAGGAGATTTAAAAGTACGCATGGCAAAAGGGGTAAGGAGTTTTTACCTTGATAATGTACTTGTAAATTTAAGCCATAACTTAAAAACTCAAAAAAGTTATAAAACTAGATCAAATCAGCCTAGTAAACTCATTATTCCAATATGCACACACACCGTCGTAAAGTGCTACAAGACACCCCCTCCTTACATGAAGCGTGACCAAATTTTATTATTGTTAGTTATTTAGGTACTCCAAGAAATCCAAAAAGTCTTTTCACAGAGCACCGTGGAATATTTTTTAACCAGGAGGTTCTAACCTTCTTCCTCACCAATGGTACCTATGTGGCCAGGACTGGCTTCGAACCACGGACATCTAGTAAATCAAATCACCACACCACGGCTGCTTTAATTTGCGAACGACTCCAAATGAATTTTTTTATTATTTTTTTTTTTTTACTTTTTTTTTTTCTTTAAGTTGATTAAGGTGCCCCAAGAAGTCCTTACGGTCTTATCACAGAGCACCGCGGAAGAGCATTTAATGGGAAGTTCACGCCTCCTTCCCAACCGCTGTTGCAAAGCTTGCCCAGAGGTGGGGTTTGAACCATGAATCTTACGTTTCTGAGGCAAGTGCGCTACCACTGCGCCACGGCTGCTCAAATTTCATTTAACAAATAATCTTTAAAAATAGAAATTTTATAAATTAAAATATTGTTTGCGCTTTTATAAAAACAAATTAAACAATTTTATTTTAATTGAGGTACTCGAAATTAAAACACTAGTTATGTTTTCAGATACTAATTCATTGTGTGAATAAATTCAAAATGTAGGACCGTACAAAAAAGAGTTAACAAAAACAGTGTAAAACAATAAGGTGGGAGTAAAGACTTCAAGCTACCAAATTAAAATAGTAAATTAAAAAACACAGCATTCGTAATATTTCTTTATTCTTCTATTTTTTTTATGGATTTTTCAAGACAAAATAACGAAGAAACTTGATTAGATATTTGAATTTCGGAAGTTTATTAATAAGAATAAGAAATTAAATGATCGTTTGAATCTCTAATTAAACAAATTTATAATGAATACGCACGAATAGATTAATTTTGATAATTCCTGAATTAGCTATTTTTCGTTAGATTATTTTATTCGAGCCTAAATACATTAATCTTTCTAATAAGTCTTTAAATAAAAAGACTAAATCTGTTTAAGCGTTTTTACAACCATAATATATATATAATATAATATAATATATATATATATATATATATATATATATATATATATATATATATATATATATATATATATATATATATATATATATATATATATATATATATATATATATATATATATATATATATATATATATATATATATATATATATATATATATATATATAAATTATTCATGACGAATAGAGAAACTGTTTGAAAATAAATAAAACTCAAACTTAAGAACCGATTTTACTTAATCGGACAAAAGCATACGATAATGAATGACCAATAAGCATTACTAAGTGTATTGAACTAGAAGAATAGAAATTAACCAAAAATAAAAAAAAAAAGGTGAAAACCAAATAAAAGCATATTAGCATCCAATGACATTGATATTAATGCATATCAAAACACAACTTAAGGTAGAAAAATACGTGTTTTTATAATTAAATTATGGTCCTAAAAATTTAATAATATGGTTTTGATAAAATATTATAAACTAATATAATAAAAATGCTGCGAAAGTTGCTTAAAATTTTTTTTTTTAACTTTTTTTAACAGAGCTTTATGTTAAAAACTACTTTTTTAAAAGGTTCGAAAAAGAAATGAAACAAAAGAATTTTTTTTTATATATATAGTTTTCTTGCTTACTATAAAAAATAGTTTGTACTTTTTATTAGGTTAATTCAGAAAAAAAAAAAATTTTTTATTTATCTATTTTTTTTTGGATAGGGAAAGAAGGGATCGGGGTTAGAAGTCAATGTTGCATTTTATAAATTTTTTTAATAGATTGCATATAATGCAATAGTGGTATTAAAAAAGAAAAGAAAACCCTTTTATATATCAGTTAACAAAATCTAATACATAATTAACTAAAAAATCTGAGATAATCTTATTGCCTAAACTTAATATGTTAAAAATAAAAAAATACGAGACTAAAATTACCTGTACAGATGATGGTGTTTAAAATCCAAACGATTTCCAACATTTAAAACAAAATAGCTATCAGTTTATAAAAATCGATTTTAAATTAACATGCCATAAAAAATAATAATAATAAATCGCTAAAAAAATTTTAAAGAATTTCTTCTACGCATAAAGTTAAGCGAAGTTATATAATAAAAAATCTTGAATAATTTATATAATAAACTCGTCATCCTTTTAGTGCAATAGTATATTGAAAATAGATCAATTTACTTTTAAAAAACTATTTTCAAAAAAAAAATCTAGATTTCATTATTTAAATAGTTTATATAATAGTATTTTATAATATTGTATTATATTATAGTTAGGCTGCAATAAGTATAAAGACTAAACACAAACCCTGTGCAAGATTAAAGTTCATTGAAGTGTGTTTTTATATCCATGTAGGAATTACTTCCATTAGAAGGATGTTATTAAATTAATTTATGGATAACAGCCATTATTTTTTAGCATCAAATATACAGTAGATAAGTAACAAATAAGTTTCAGTAAATTTTAAATCCAAAAAATTTTATTTAATAAATTTTGTTATATTTTGGTATTGTAAAATTTTAATTCTAACAAAGTAAGTAGTAATTAAGTAAGTACAGAGTAGTCCGCCAATGATCATACATCCACAACCACTGATAACACATCCACAACCACTGATAACATAACCACAACAACTGAAAACACATACACAACCACTAATAACATATACTCAACCACTGATAACATATACACAAACACTGATAACATATACTCAACCACTGATAACATATACACAACCACTGATAACATATACACAACCACTGATAACATATACTCAACCACTGATAACATAAGCACAACAACTGATAACATATACACAACCACTGATAACATATACTCAACCACTTATAACATATACACAACCACTGATAACATAAGCACAACAACTGATAATATATCGTCACTTTCTTACTCTGGATTCTATTCTATATCTCTATAAATCTCAAATCCGGCCTTGTATGAAATACTGTTGCCATATCTGGGGCGGATCTTCTAATGATGCTCTTTCTCTTTTAGACAAGGTGCAAAAACATATAGTAAACATAGTTGGACCTGCTCTTGCAGCCAACCTTCAACCTCTGTCACATCGTCGTAATGTTGCTTCTCTTTCTCTTTTCTACAAATACTATAATAGGCACTGCTCTGAAGAGCTAGCGTCTCTTGTGCCATCTACTAAAATTCATTCTCGTGTCATTCAGTTAAGTCTCATCCATTTTCTGTTACTGTTCCTAAGTGCTCCAAAAACTCTTATTCGTCTAGTTTTTTTCCTGGAACATCAGTTCTTTGGAATTCGCTTCCTTCATCTTGCTTTCCTGATTCATATAATTTGCAATCTTTTAAGTCGTCTGTCAATCGTTATCTTGCTCTACAATCTTCATTTTTTCTCTTCCAGTAACTTCCAACACTAATTAGTGGTTGCTTGCAGCCTTTTTGGAAGTGAAGATGTTAAATATATATATATATATATATATATATATATATATATATATATATATATATATATATATATATATATATATATATATATATATATATATATATATATATATATATATATATATATATATATATATATATATATATATATATATATATATATATATATATATATATATATACTGTCCAATACAGTCAAATTAGAAGAATTTGTTTCATTATTTTCACTGAACAAACTAAATCTAAAAGAATAAAGATAAAACGATTTTTCTAAAACCTTCTAATTGTTTTAAACTAAATGATTTGTTTTTTTAACGACAAAATAAAAATTTTTAAAAGATATGCTGATATAATTTTTGATAAGAGGGCAAAATTGTTAACATTTTAAAAAGTATTCATAAATTTAAAATTTTGTTTGACAATTTCTGTTTATTAGGAAATAAACCGAGGAGCTTAAAAATTACAAAATTAGGAGATTATAAGAGATATTTGGATAGCAATGCTTGCAATCTTTCTTGACCACATCTCAAGTAGTTTTCATGTTAAGGGATATCCGACAAAAAAAAAGAAACTGTTGCCGCAAAAGAAACTTGGAAACGAGTACAATTGGCAGAAACTACAGAAAAGAAGCATCACAGCTTAAAAACTTACAGTTTAAACTAAATTAGGATACATTATTTTTCTGCTTTATTTATGGTTTTTTTGTAGCAAGACAGCTTAACTTTTTTTTAAACCAGCTTTAGGTTGGTTTAAATGAAAGTTAAGCTGTGATGCTACGAAAAAACAAATAAAGCAGAAAAATAAAGTATTCTAATTTAGTTTAAATTGTAAGTTTTTATCTTAAGCTGTAAAATATAAAAAAAGACTTTTAAACGTTTTCTTCAAGGCATGTTTTTTATATTTTACGTAGTACTCACTTAAAAAAAGGTAGAACTTTCCACCTGTAGAGTTACTTCGTATATCCGATCCTATGAGTAGAAAAGTATACCCTAACTTTTCGGGTGTTAAAACAACCCTCAACAAGGGTATAATAATCCACCCAAGACTTCAATTTTACCCTAGATTTAGGGTAGAATTATACATATTTATTTATCATGAGAAATTACATTGCGGCTTTAATTTAATTGCGCAACCGATCAAAGTATGTTCAGTTCAAAGTATTAATAGCTCAAATTATATTTCTTGAAAGTTTAATTAATTTAATAGTGTTTATTGAGATACAAATTTTATTTTTTTAAGATATTATTTTATAGAAATTGTCTATTATTACAAAGGTTTGTTCAAAATGACTTTGACTAAAATGGTGTTGGAATGTTGCTAGTAACGCCACAAACATGGCTTGCTACAAAATCTAATGTTTTTTTAAGTTTTGTGTCAAGTGCAGTTTCGTACACCCAGTAGGCTGCAACCAAACTTCTAACCGCACTTGATACCGTCTTGGATTTTGTTATTACTATGCCGTCGAGTATTACGTTTATTTCAGCATCATCAACGTTAAAAACATTTGTTTCGCCTGCACACTGATGTTTATTGAAGGAGTGGAAACTTGTGAATTCTGTAATTACAAAAATGTATAAATTACAAAAGTACTAGTATAACTATTAACTATTAATAATAAAATTGTTAGTAATAATAATAAAGACTACAACTTGAAATACAACCTTATTCAAAGAAATGAAGCGATTAATGTCTTCACCAAATATAACTGATATATATATATATATATATATATATATATATATATATATATATATATATATATATATATATATATATATATATATATATATATATATATATATATATATATATATATTAGAAGAAATAATCTTTACTACAAAAGTTATATTATATATTAATTATACACCTTCAATATCAACATTTGATGATGCGCCTAAACTTAATTTTCAAATCTAAACCAGTGATTCGTCTTGCTTCTTCCAAACAACTTTTTGTCCGTTTAAAAATTAAATACAACTCCAACAACTAGTTTGTTCGTTTAAAAATTATATACAATACGAAACTATACAGAAAAAACTATTGTTACAACCGCATGTACCTTCAGTATCTTCAGGTTTGTGGTTGCTTAATAGAAATTTATTTTCGCGACAATATTTGGAAATTATCTCTGTCTTTTTATTAACTATACTTAATAGAGCTATAGCTCTTCAGCATTTTTATAAAGTAAAATTTAAAAATTTTTTCATACAAACAGAGTAAACATTTTTTTATTGTATTGTTGTAAACAGGGGTTTAAGTTAAAAATAACACCCCGATTTACCTTTATTTCTTAGTGTGTAAATGTAAAAAACATATTTTTTCGTTTTGCTACGTATCATTTAGATATCTTTTTTTAAAGAAGTAATTTTTTAAAATTTTATGAGTGTCGAATACTGGAGAACAAAAATGTCGATCTTAAGATGTTGTCTTGTGTTCGACATTTTGATATTTCGGGGGATGTAAATCCTTTATTTTTCTTAGGACGACATTCACTCTGAGTGTATTGTAAAGACCATCAATCCCTTTAAACGATAAAACTTTGAGATTGATAATATATGACATATTGAGTGAGAATTTTTATTTACTAAAGACTATCTAATAAAAAACGTCGACCAATGGATGGTTTACCCTTGCTTATGGTTTTTATTTTAAACTTTACTGAGTGAAATAAAAAGCATAATTATATCATATATATTTTTACATTTAATTCAAATATTTTACTTTAAACTTTCTAAAATTTGTTTTCTAATTTTATTTTTTAATTTGCTTACTTAGTTCATTTTTAACTTAATTAATTCACTTGGTATCTTTGCAGCTAATATTTTAAAAATATTCGGAAACACATATATCCTTATCTTTTTGAAATATTTGCTTTCATACCTTCATTTCTAAAAATATTTCATTCATTACCTAACATTAGGCTTTAAAGAAACACTTGGATTATACAGACAATAACAAAAATAGATATTAACCCCTTCATTAAGTAAGATTAAGTTGCTATTATAAGTATGAGAAAAACTTAATCAGAAAAATTATTTTGCAAACTAAACAAAAGTTTGTTGTTTTTCTTAGGTCTTGTTGGCAAAAATTGTTAAATAATGGATTTTGTTTTTTTTTTGGTTTTTTAAACCTCCTAAAATAGTTAAATAATGGATTTTGGTTTTTTTTGGTTTTTTAAACCTCCTAAAAAAAACTCTTTATTGCTCTTTTTTTTTTGTCTGATTATTTTGAAATTTAAATATTTTCTTATAAATAATCAGAGTAATATTAATATAGACAAAAAAGTTATATATATAATACAGTATTTATTACAAAATTTAATTAGCCTTTATAAATTTTAAATTTTTTCTTTTTAATTTTTAATCAATTTTTAAATTACTTTTTTTGAATTAATAATTTAATAACCTTAATTTGGGTGAACTTGCTGAGCATGAAATCATAAACAATTTAACTCATAAAAAAAAGGTGTTTCTGACAGCAATTAATTTGCGACTTACTCCCCAACTAATAACTTGATAATTTAGGTAACTAAAAATACTCGACTAAAAATTTTAATAAAACTAAATTTTAAATAAGGTTCAAAAAAATTAGATTTGTTTTTGTTTAGTTTTTTTGTCTAGAAAAAAACTCTTTTTTTTTTTTATATCTGAACCTTAATAAAACATTTTAATTTAAGTAAAAATTATAATTTTTTTTTTTATAGAATAAAAATGTACATATTTTTAAAAAAGTTAAAAAATTTTACTTGTCAACATTTTTCAATATATTTGTTTACTTATTGTCATAATCTGGGGCGCTTGGAATAACTTTGGTACTATTTTATTGTCTTGTATGACAATAAAATTGATAATAATTCTCATTGTCCTATGGATTTAACAAGGATGATAAATTACTATCATATTTAGCATTAAAATGACGTGCAAACCATGACGTCCATACCAAATTTCAGTTAAGTTACTTACCGAACACCCTAAAGTTTAGTACTGTTTAAAATCTATTATTTTAAAACTGAAATAAATTCATACTTAATTGTAACTTTAAAAAAAAAACTCACATAATAACTTCCCAGCAAAAATTGTTAGGCATTTTGAGCGGTTGATTAGATTTATGCTCATCGGTTACTTAGTGGACCATTAGTGGCAGTCGCCATAAGTGGCCAGCTGATAGCTATTAACTTGTGATTTCATGCTATTTATTGGCTAGCCACTTTTGGCGGCTGTAACTACTGATAAATTAGGTAACCATAGAGCAAAACTACAACGGACCGCTTAAAATGTCTATATAGGTCCATTCAAATACCGCTATAGAATGTTTGTTGGCTTGAGTTAATTTAATAAATAACATTTAATAGTTAAAAAAAATCTTAACGTAAACATTGAACGTTAACTTGAACATTGAGCGTTAACGTGAATACTGAAAGTTAAAGTTAAAGTGGATTAAAAAAACAACATCATTTAGCTAGAAATAAATATAAATAGTTAAAAAGTAAAGTCGTGCACCGAAAAAGTAAAGTCGTAAGACGAGATATCCGGCTCTTTTGGGATGTCGAGATGTCTAGCTTGTTCGGGATGTCAAGATATCCAGCTTGCTCAGGACGCCAAGATGTCCAGATTGTTTGAGATGTCGAGATGCTCAGCTTGTTTAGGAAAAAAAACCTAATAATTCTATTTATAAATCTTTTTAAAAATGTATTTACCTTAAATGCATAGTGTTGCAGAAATGCTGGAGGATAGTATAACTTATATAAAGTTTAAAATAGATTAAAAATTGTTGTAATATTGAAATATAGCAATACTAAAATGTGTGCATGCATTTGAAAATAATTTTTTTTAATAATTTAATGAACATATCAAAATAAATATACGGTTATGTTTTAGGTTTTGTTTTAACAAAAGGGTATTTTTAATGTATAATATTGCATATATATATATATATATATATATATATATATATATATATATATATATATATATATATATATATATATATATATATATATATATATATATATATATATATATATATATATATATATATATATATATATATATATATATATATATATATATATATATATATACATTGTTTGAATCTGTAAGCAAAACGCACGGAACACACCTCTCTCACTAAGAACTGTTTCAGCCTCCATAATTGTTTTTGCTCATCTAGTTAAAAACTATGACTTTATTTTTTTGTATCCATTTTGCAAAAAAAATGTTTGTAAACGACTGTTTGTCTATTTATTATGGATAAATAGAAAAACAGTAAAAAAATAGCAGTATAAACAAAAATTAATAAAGAATAGTTTTTTAAGATAATAAGTTTTTTTTTAGTTGGACATTCAAACTAAAGTTGTAATTGGTGGTGCTTTTAAATAAAAAAAAAAAAAAAAAATTAACTTAAAAAGGTCGAAAGTATATTGACGTCAACACCACGCTCTTATTTTCATTTTTTCAGGCGACTTCCTTTTGCAGAAAGTATTAAGACATTTTATTGTTAATATGACAGGAAATCATACAAACTTTACTGTTTGTGCATTATATTAAAAATCACTTTCAAAAAAATTCAAGCTCAATAAACTTCATTTTCATACGAACATATTCTTCTTGATAATGTTAGTTAGAAACAAAAAAGTGCTCGAACTAAAATTAGATATGTACTTTCTGAACTTAATAAAAATATTTCTTAAATAAATAGTTGGTTATAAATACCTTAAATAAATAAACAAATAAACAGACTTATCTGCTATTTATCATCATAAGTTCTGCACGATTGGAATATTTGATATTTTTTTAAATCGTCCCTTTATTAGAAAACATGTTTTAGTAAATTAAAAATCTGTTTATACAGCGTATTATCATTTTGAAGTGGTTACTTAAAAAAAAATTTTGTTCGTTGACTTGCAATCGGTTCAAGGTTAGTTTAAACAACTTTGGAAATAAAAACTGGAAATAAGTTATGAAAATTATAAATAATGCAATGGAGAATGCGGCGCAAGGTTTAATTTCTGAAATAGAATTCGGCGGGAATCATTCTGCGTGCGAAACCACAAGTGAAAATTTGACAACATTACCAAAACCGTTGATTTGGGTAATGATTATTTATTCTGTTTTACAATTTAAGTGAAAATATATGACAAATAATATATCTCTTTTGCTTTTTTTTTTTTTTTTTTTTTTTTTTTGTACAAAATTATAGCAACTTGGTAGATAAGAATAGAAAAATAAGTTTAAATATTAAACCAATTTTATTAATGCATATTATAATTAATATTTAGTATTCATTTTTTTGTTGTTTCTTGACGTGAAACTTTGTAAAATGCCAATAAACTTACTTTTAATTTTGAGAGAGTTTATTCAAACTCAAATTTTCTTTTTTGTGAAATTAAGAATACGGAACCTTAAAGAGATTTTTTAGTAAGTTTTGTATATTAAATGACGATAATTTTTAAATACAAAATGTTTTTTGAGCTAAAAATTGTAATCCGTTTAAAAAACAGTTTTTTTAAACAAATTACGAGTTCTGACACAAAAAAAAAAATTAAAAAAAAAAGGTTTGCGCCATATCTTATAGGTTACTAAAAAAAAAATCCGGGTAGCATCGACAAAGTGTTTAAAATTTTAAAAAGTTGAAAAGTGAAAGTGTGAGTCACGTTCTTTTTAAAAAATTCTTTTGCTTTAAATAACTGGACGACTATAAATGAACCGTTTTAACAGTTACATTTAGAATCCAATCTCTTTTACATAAACTTGGGTATCATTAATTAATACTGTAATATTTTTAGAATGTTCTTTTACATCAACTATGATAGAATTTTTTAAAAGTTTGTTAGGTTTTTTTAATCGCTGGTGATAAAAAATGAGTTAATAACATCGCTCTAGTATTTACTTCTAGTATTTGCTTTGTTGCTTTTTATTTGTTATTTTATGTTATATCTAAATTTTATTTGTTATTTTATGTTATATATAAATTATATTTTTTCTCTTTTTAAAAGATCAGACATAGAGTTTTGAAATTTCAGGTTTCTAATTTTCATTATACGATTCCTAACTTTTGTTATGAGGTTCATCTTAAAACCGTGAACTTTTAAACCATGGACAAAAACGCTTCGTTTTCCATAAGATGCAAAAAATTGCGTGACGCGAATCTATTCGTCTCGTTTTGATTTAACGCGAGTTTTATCGTCATCAATAACAAATATGGCAGCAATTAGTTTACGTTGAATGCTTTAAAAAAATATATTTTAAGTTTTTATGGTACATGAGAAGCAAATGCCAAGAATAAACTATAATTAGATTGTAAGCAAAAAGGAGAATATAATCTTCTCAGTCGGCATTTGATCCTAAAAAGAACCAAAATGCCGGCTGGATTGTTAAAGATTGTTAAAAATTATTTGACCACAAATCTTGGGTGTGTTTATTGATTTCAAAAAATCTACGCATAGGAGAGAATCCATATCATGCATAGATTTTAACATTTTTGTCTTAGTAAATAAAGTACATACCACAAACATGGATAATTTCTAATCTAAAAATATGCAACTGAGTTAAAGCATCAGTTTTTAATAAATAAGAAAGCTAACCACTGATAGAAATACTTCTGTTGAAAAACTGAACTGCAAGAACTAACAGATGAAGAACTATATACTTCTGAAACTTCGAGTTGAGAATTTTGTGTTGCTGTTATTTTAAAAAAACGTAAAAGCAACTTTTCCAATGTTGAAATCACGTGATATAAATTTAAAATTATTTTAGTTAATGAATGCTTAATCAGCAAAAATAAGAAATGCTTTATGTGTGTTATTGACAAAAAAATTTCTCTGCGCAAAAAATTCGTCTTGTGGAAAACGGACTTTTTACAAAGGTGTCCTATTTGCTCGTTTTTGGGCAATTTTATGAAAGGGAGTTATTGGATACTTAGTACAGCCAGACTTATTAGCAGCAGTTCTTTTAAAATGACGTTTCGATTGATTTTAAAGAATATCGGTTTTCTAAAGGTCGTTTAACTAATCTTTAGTTAACAATACCTTATAAAAATAGAAAGTTTAACTCATTTTAAAAACAAATGACTTAGCTCGAGAGCACTAAAATATAATAAATAATGCAAACGCAATAGTGTAAAAATAGCTTTTTATGCTATAAAATGTAGATGTTTGTATTTTTATTTAGTTGTTGTTTCTTTGACAATAAAATTAGTTTTATGTTTTAACGAAGTAAATGTATCAATTATATTAACAAGTTTTTATTAAAAAAAGTTTATTTTATAAATAATTTATTGTCACAGTTTTATTGAATTATGCATTGTTATTTTATATGCACATTTCAGTATATGGACGTTTTAATTATTAACTACCATCTACAGTATGCTAGAAGGTTTACTGCATGTCTGTATAATTTATATGTATGTTTCAATTCTTACCTTCCACAGTATGCTAGAAGATTTATATCATCTCTGTATGGCAGACATTGTGTTGGACTGTCAAAAACAGTAAAAACAGTAGCTTACCCTTTTTCTATACAAAAACCCCTAAAGTAATTACATTTTTTTGTAAAAAGTAAATTTCTATAATAATGTTACAAGTTTAGAAAACAAAACAATCTTTTTAAAAATTTTTATTTTTTTATAGTAAATGCCAACTTGACTTAGATTCCAGTCAAAATTGGCAAAATCAATTTTGGCTGGAATCTATTTTTTAAGGATTTTGGGTTTAACATTCCTAAAAGTTGAACCAGACCAACTTTTAGGTTTACTTTTCAACCAAAAGTAAACCTTTTTCATCAAAGATAAACAAACGCTCCAATACAGATTTCTTTTTTATTGTGTTAAACTTTTATTTTCAGCTTTTGGAAATGTTTAAGCATAATAAAGCAATCTAATTTTATTATTGGTACTCAATATAATTAGATTACTAATTATAATATACTATTATAATATACTGGATTATTAATAAGATTACCGAAAATGTTTTTCTAACTAATATTTTTTTTATTGCAACTTGGCAGATAGTGAAGCAAATCTTTTGAAATGAAAATAGATAAATGTTTTGAAATGAGAATAGATTAAAAAACTATCCCAGCATTCTATTGGTTTAAATTTGATGAGAAAATAAGACAAAATTTTTGATGTCAATAAGATCAAAAAAAATGCGTACTACAATAAAAAAAATCGACCTCAAGTTATAGTAAAACTGTTCTAGTATTTTAAAAACATATTCATAAATATTTCTAAAAACTAACACAGTAAAAATTGTTTGCACCATGCAACTTATAAAAACATTTTTAAAAATTGCTTGATTTTTATATTTTTTTAGCAATCTTTAACAAAAATCATCGCACTACAACAAATAAATACCAAAATAGCCATAAAACGAGGGTATTTTGACTTTATTTTTTGAGAAAATGAAGCTAAGGATAGTTCTAATTATATTATAAGTTATCATTTGTAATAATTTGTAATTAGTTTTTAAATATATGTTTTAAAAATAGTTTTCTATACTAAAAAACTGGTAGAAGTTGCCATATTGTTATATTTTCTAAAAAAACATTATTTGAACCTTGGTTTAGGATAATGACATAGGTATATATTAACTAAACATTTAGTGAAAATTTCAGAGCTATAGCAAAACCATTTCATAAAATATATTGTTTAAAGTTGAAGCAGAAAAAAAGATCTTTGAGAAAAACGCTAAACAAAAAAGAATATTCATTAAAAGCATAATTTAAAGTTTAATATCCACCAGAAAGATAAGGTAAATTTTCATTTTTAAAGTCTTTAAAACTTTTCTTAATCTTCCTGATTGTCTTTCTTCGCTTTTTACCATTATCTGATGCTTTCTTTTTAGACATTCGAATAATCTATCTTTATGAACTTAACCATTTTGAAAACATTTACCGTCACTAATATTAAAGTGATTTAAAACTTTGTGTAAAGCACCAGTGCCATCACTCAGCGTAGTAAAGGAGAGATCCGAAGAAAAATATAGCATCAGTGCCTTCATTGAACTGAACAATGGCAAAATAAACTTCGATTTCTAAAAAATATTTGTTCAACAAAAATATTTTTAGGGCACTTACTCCTAGTTATTTGATTTATATTTTCATTTGAGTTTTGTTTTTGACCGTGAAGATAACAGCTTTGGATAACAGCTCATCTTCCGATAGACTAATAAAAACTTTATAATATCATAAATCCATTTTGGTATATTGATGTGAATAATAAAACTTTTTCATGTTGACTTGTATTATTTAAACATACGCCAATTGCTTACACCTGGTTGACAAAACTGATGTAGGTAAGATTCATCGGTTAACTGAGTATAATGCAAAAGAACTGCGAGAACGAACTTAATTGCATACTAATGATTAGTATTATCTCTAATAGCTTTTCCCATAAAAATTTTGCATTAAGTTAACAGTGGATTCAGTCAGCTTTCTTTTTTCTGAAAGCGAGGTTTTAGTGCCTTTATATTATATTTTGGTCCCTAATCTTTTTTGAATGTGTTCAACTTATACTTACTTTAATAGTGGCACATCAAATTTTGAATTAGGGTTTGAATCAATTACTCCGTAATAGAAGAGGTGTCACTTAGTATTCATGGAAAATCAAACTATGTCTCTCTACTGATCTACTAAATATTTTAACAGCTCTGGCTCCTTCTATTGAACAAGATTATTTTTTATGATTTATGTTTCAATCATGGTTCATTAACTGTTCATTATGTTCAGGATTTAGTAGGCTTACACTTTTTATATTGCATTTGCTAACTGAGTGGCTTTTTACAGGCTCCTATTGGCAGCTGCATAATAAGCTGCGTGAATCTCCTCACTAATATTACTATAAGTTGGTTCAGATAACCCGTACATATTCATGCATCGTGTAAAATTAGAAATTGCCTGTATCTTTTTCCTATTTCCCGAAATGCTATAATAACCCTTACATCTGCCTTAAATAATTTTTTTCCTGGAGGTACAGTATTTGCTGAACATTCTTTAAAAGTGAAAAACCTAACATTAGCTTGACAATTGTTATATAATTATATTGATTCGGAAGCTAGACCCATACGTGAACTAAGTTTGTTCCGTAGTGTCACG